GTGGTTACATAATCCTTTTAGTGCTTCTAGTGGCAGAAAAAGTCACGAGTCATTGTGCCATTATAATGTTTGCATTGGTAGATGCTTTGGTGGTGGGAACATAATTCCCCACTTGAGTGTAAAATAAGGGCATTACAGTCCTCCAGCAACTCTTAGCTCTGTTGTGTTGCTTCAGGGCCTTGAATTGGTTAACCCTTTTAAAAGGTCTTTTTTATCTTGATTTTAACATTCATTAGTTAGTGTTCCTTTTAACCTAAATTAGGAAGGTCTGAAGGTGGGTATACATTTCAAACAATAGGCCCCAGAAGAGCAGTCCTTTATAATTTGGATCACTTTAGGCTTTAACTTATTCTTGATCACAGGGACTCTCCTGTGGCTTCTTATTCAGTTATTTCTTCTCTCAGGTGTTTTATTTCTCTTTCATTGTTTTCTATCCCCACTCCCATAACCCCATCAATTTGCTCTTTTATCCCTATTTTACAGGGAAAATCCTTTTAACAGAACAGCTTGAGAGCTTTTCCTAAATTCTTCCCATAAGTAACTGAATCCATTCCTCACTATCACTCTGAGAAACCATACTCTTCACAGTCATTAGCAACATAATGCCAAGCCCAGTGGCCTTTTTCTCACCTCCTGAGAATGAAGGAAACCAGAATATGTCATCCCCAAATATGTCTCTTTGACTTATTTAGAGCCGAAGGCAATTAAGAAGCAGCAAATGCAGAACCTCTCTACCCTCCCTTTTCTTCCGGAGGGCAGGATATAAATTCTTCCTTTACTGGAGTCTCCTTTTACTTGAGACTCTTTATCAGCCCAGAGAAGAATCTGCAAACAAACCTTACTCCATTAGTTTCTTCCCATGTATTTACCTTCCCATAATTTGCTGCTCTTGGGTCCCTAAAACTTCTTTCCTTTGTCCTGTCATTCCTCTACAAATTTGTTGTTCTTTATTGGAAACCCCATATAACCTGCAGTTCTAAACCTGAACTTTGAGTTACTTTTCATTGAGGTTTCTCCTAAGTGCGTGATTAAATGTTGCAAGTGTTAAGAAACATTTTATCTTTTGTTAATTTGTCTTTCTATTAGAAAAATTAACAAAAGTTGAAATCCTAAAATAGGTAGGGGAAAAGTTTTGCTTCCTCTGCACAAATTTTACATTGTCTGTCTTTTTCTTCTGTCTTGAAACTTTTATTTCTCCTGGATTTCGATGAAAATTGCTCAGAAATCACTTTGACTTGTTCTAACATTTCTATTTATGATTCTTTTATGCAGATATTTTATTAGGGTCTTTGTTGTTTTCTTTTTTCTAATTCCCTCAATGATTTAACCTACTGCTATAGCTTTTTAACTCTTCTTTTTTGAAATTATTCACTCTGTCTCCAACTTTAACATCAGCCTTTACTTTTTCCATTAGTTTCAGACTTGGATCTATTAAATAAACTGGACCAATTGGCTAAAAATAATGAACCTCAATCCTAATCTTACACCATATATAAAATTTAATTTTAGGTAATGAATCTAAATGTTAAGGGTAAACAATGCTTCTAAAAGAAAATGTAAAATATTTTCATGTCTTTGAGGTCAGCAAAAAAAATTTTTTTTACACAGCATAGTAATAATAACCATAAAAAAGGTTGATAATTTGGATTTATTAAAATTGAGAACCTCTCATCAAAAGACTCCATAAGAGGACAGTGTTTAGCAATAAAAAGAAATGAGTTATCAACATAGAACACACGTAGTTGAATATCAAAATAATTATGCTGAGCGGAAGAAAGCAGAGTATATTCTGTGTGATTTAATTTTTATAAAACTAGAAAATGTACATGAAACTCTGTAGTGGTAGAAAGCATCTCGCAGGCTGCTCAGGCGTGAAGGGTGGAGGGGGAATTACCAAGAAACATGAGGAAATTTTTGGAGAGTGTTGAATATGTTTACTATTTTGTGGTGGTGGTTTACAGTTACATACATGTGTCAAAACTTATTAGTTTCCACACTTCCAATTTGTTGTTTATTGTTAGTTGTACCTTAATAAAGACGTTTTTAATATGATAATAAACAAAGACCACCCAAATGAGAAGAGGCAAAGGCCATTTGTTCAGATCTTTTAATAGTTGGGAGAATTAGCCACCACCACTTGGCAGAGACTCAAAGGAAAGCAGGTAGACCAGTGGTAAGCCTTATAGTAGGAAAAAGGGGAGGCTTTCAGGTATCTCCTGATTGGAAGATGTGTACTTCTACTATGGGAAACCTGTAGGCAGCCTATAACTAGTAGTTTTGCTTCTTAAGCTAATTACTGGAGATATTAGTAAATAGCTAGAATAGTTATTTCCTGGGCTGGCTTCTGTAGCTTGTGTTAGAGCTCTGGTTTTTTGTTTTTGTTTTTTAATATTTAAAGAGCAGGTTTATTAGAAAAGGGATAGGACAGTAAAAGACACTTGCATAGACACAAGCAGGCAGGAAGAGCTGCCCCAAAAGGGACAGGTTTGCTGAGAGAGGCCTGCATGGTTACAGGAGGGTGGCCTTGAGGAGAGCTGCCTCCGCTGAGGGAGGTCAGTGAAGGGAAGTCCTGGCATGGTACAGGTCATGGACAGGCAGGAAGTTGCTGCCCTGCAGGAGAGAGTTGGTGAAAGGAAGCACCTGCATAGTCACAGGTGGGCAGACGGAGTGCTGCCTAGAGCTCTCTTTTATATATGTCGTCTGGCATTGTCTGTCAGTATATTCAGTCTCCCATGAAAATAAACAGATTCCAAAAGGAAGTCAAGCTACAAACTGAGAAAAGATATTTGCAATAGATACACCACAAAGTGTTTATATCTAATACTCATTAAGCTCCTACAATTCAGTAAGAAAGACAATCCAAGTTGTAAAATGTGCAAAAAACTTGAACCTAGTACTTCACAAAAGAAGATATCCAAAGAGCTAATAAACATGAAAAAGTGCAAATAGGGAAAATGCAGTGAGCATTTAATCATTTAATGCAGATTAGATGAGATAACTATCATACCTCTAAAATGAAAGAATTAGCATTCCCAAGTGGTGGTGTAGATGTGGAGCAGGTGGAACTCTCATATGCTGCTGGCATGAGTGTAAATCTGGAAAACTATTTGGCAGTGTCTATAAAGCTAAACATATGTAAACTATGATCCAATATTAACACTCCTGGATTTACCTCTGATAAGCAGTTTATGTCCACCAAGACTTGTGCAAGAACATAACAGCTATTTAGAGGAAACAGCCCAAATGTCTATCAACAGTTCAGTTTTTCAGTGTGATATACATTCACTGTTGATTAACAATGGGGATACATCTGAGAAATATGTCCTTAGGTGATTTTGCCATGCAAACATCATAGAGTGTAATTACACAAACCCATATGATATAACCAACTACACACCTAGGTGATATGATAGTCTATTGGGGTCTTGTTCATATATGTAATCCCTTGTTAACTGAAGTATTGTTAAGTGAGGAATGACTGTATTGAGGACATGGAGTGTTATGTAGCAATGAAAAAGAATAAACTACCACCTGCAGCAATATAGATAAATCTTATAGCCTGCACACAAAAGAGTTAATACTATTTGATTTTATTTATAAGAAATTCAAAACAGACAAAATGAATCTTTGGTGATGGGGTCAAAGTAATGGTTAACTTTTAGAGGGGTTATTAGCTGAGGAGATACAAAGCCTTTTAGATTCTTGGAAATGGACTGTAACCTAATCTAGATTTTGGTCGTATTGGTATTTACATAGAACTGTACACTCAAGATTTGTGTATTTCACTACATGTAAATTATACCTCAATAAAGAACAGTAAGTTGTTGTTTTTTTTAACTTGTACGCATTATTTCCTGTTTCAGCGCTCTCCTTCTGTTCATACCTTTTCTTAAAGCTAGATCTCCCTCTGGGTCCCTGTTTTTGTTAATTGAAACACTATTAAACTTGGTTCCAAGGTACCCAAGTTAAAAACCCTGGCACCCCTTTACATTTTTTCTGCCAAAAGTCCTTAAATCATGTCAACTCTTCCTTTAAAATATTTCCCATCCATGCTGTTTTCAAATCATGTCTGTTCTAGTTTTAACCTTAATCACAAGCCTAATTTATTGCCAGGTATCTAATTGGTTTCCCAGCTTGCTTTTCATATTCAGAACTATTCTACTTCATACCACCAAAGATAATCTGCCTAAAGCACCAGTCATGAGATGCTAGCATTCTGGCTGTGTTACTTCCTCTCAAAAACCTTGAGGGAGGGAGATCCCTGTTTCCTGATACTAGATGCAGATCAGGCTCTAACACTGCATTCAGGGTTCTCGTCTGGCTTGACTTACTCCTCCCCCCTCCAGATACAGTCCTTTGGAAAACCAGAACATTTAATAGTTCCAAATCCATTAGCCCTCTGTTCATGCTCTTCTCCCCCTAAATGATTTCTTCCTCATACCAGCCCCATCTAACAGCTTCAGTCTGCAGGGGGGTTGTGATGTGCTTTATGAAATCCATAACCCCCCTAAAGTTATTCACTGTTTCTATCTATGTGCATTTTTCTGGAGCCTCTAAATCACTAGATTCTCAACTGGGGTTCATAAACCCCCAAATGTTAAGTTTACTTAGTGGTCTTTTAAAGGTTGATAAGCCAACTGATTTTGTGTTTTTGCCATTTTTGTCTTGTTAAAACTTAGTCTGCAATATACTGGGTAATAAAAATTTTTTAATAGGTACGTTGTATTTAAAGCTCATAGTTTGAGATTCAGGTTAAAATGTGTTATCCAGTCTTTGTTTCCTAGATTTAGCTCCTTGTGTGGTGGAATTTATTTTCCTCAGATAGTGTCTTAATATTTTTCACTTGGGTATCTTTAGTCGGGGAATTTTTTTTTCCTCTCCCACATGACTATCCATGAAGTTAGTAGACAATACCATCTCTGTGTATTTTGATGTAGCAATCTCTTTTAAAAGACACTGGTCACATTTTTCTCAACATTTCCCCCCCCCCCCTTTTTTAGATTCCTATAGGCAATGGAAACTGATCTCAATTCCCAGGACAGAAAGGACTTGGACAAGTTCATTAAATTTTTTGCCCTCAAGGTAATATATCCATTCTCTTGAGCTTAAAACTGTTAGAAATAACTTCCTTGCTTCTCTCTTTTTGGAAATATAGCATAACAGCTTGCAGCTTGCCCATTTTAAGGGATACTTCTGTCTGTTGTAAACTAAACTGTGAAGTTTGGGGGCGGTACTGGGGGTGTAACTAAAAAGTAACTTCCAATTTTCCACAGCTACTTGTTCAAAAAAATTTTTTTGCAAGGCTGTTTGCAGAAATGTCAAGCTATTATGCCAGGTTATTGGCACAGAATGTTCTCTTGAGATGGGAACAAAGACTGTGGACTGGAATGGACAGCATTTTGGGCATCTTTCCTGAAGCATCAACTGACTCTGAGATGTCTTACTTTCATTTATTGTTCCCTTCTGGGTAATGAAAAATTAAAACTAAATTTTGAATGATTAGAAGTTTTATTTTCCTGAATCTAAAAATCATTTCCACTCCTATCATTCCTTCCTCTCAACTTACACAGTGCGAGAAAAATCCGTTCAGTAGATTCTGGTTGTAAAATTAATTGGAAGACTTTTGCCATTTGGGCCAAATCACATGAATAATTGCTTAGCTTTAAGTCTACTATGATTATATAAGTGGATGGCAGTGAATATTTAAACCTACGGTTGGACTTATTTCTTTATGGAACTCAAAGCTACCATGTGTCATTTCCCTGCTGCCATGTGAAAATATTACAGAGCCCAAGCTTCAAACTATAAGTCCTCTAATTGGTTGACACGACACCCTCAGGAAAGTCTGTCGTGTTGTAGATTTGTGTAGTGTTTTTCCACTCTGTTCTTGCATGTTTCAAATTCTGCCCTTTCCTGAAGTATAGTAATAACTGGCATCTTTTAAATCCTGCGCTGGGAGGGTTTTAACTTGATCGGGAGACAAATCAGCTTAAACCTTTTCATCCTTGCTTTCTTGTTTTTCTTTTTTTAGACTGTCCAAGTGATCGTCCAGGCTCGACTTGGTGAGAAGATTTGTACGCATTCATCTTCCTCCCCAACAGGTTCAGATTGGGTAAATTTCCTGTTCGTTGCTAAAGGGAATACTGTGGTATTTGTTACAAGAAATCACAGGTGCCGTATTAAGGGATACACTTTATGATATTACTAAATTATAACATTAAATTATTGAATTCCATTTGATCCATTTACCTGGAAACTTCTTTATCGAATGTTGGTCCTGGTTCATTTGGTTCCTGGCTTTCTGCTGTGATAGGTGAAAAAATTTGGTCTTTAGAAAGCATTGTTATCTTTGTGTTTTTTTTTAAAAGATTTACTTATTTTTATACAAGAGCTGGGGTACAGGCCAGAGATGTGGGTGTGTGTGTGTAAAAGGATTCACCAGGGACAGACTGGGAAATAAAATAGGCAGACTGACTGAAATACACTGCTGAGGGGAGCAGCGGGCGAGACAGGAGAGGTCTGCCGCGCCATGTGGGACTCTCCCTGGCCAGCTGGGAATCAAACCCGCGCTGCAGAGGCTGCGGACAGCTTCACAGCGCTGCGTTCAACCCTCTGCGCCACTGGGGAGGCCTCACATTGTTATCTTTGTAATAGGTAAAAAAATTAGCTTTCTTCAACCTGAAGTTTAGAGCTTTGATCAGGCTCTCTCTTAAGAGGAAGAGAGAAGTGAATGAATGTCCTTAATGAGTCCAAGCAATACCTGGGTTACCCAATACACAGTCTTACAACATACTTTAATTTTCCATAATGTTCCTTGTAAATTGGTTAACACAAGTCCCTTTTGTTTTCTAGTTCAATTTGGCAATCAAAGACATCCCCGAGGTTACACATGAAGCTAAGAAGGCACTGGCAGGGCAGCTCCCTGCTGTCGGGAGGTCTATGTGTGTGGAGATCTCTCTCAAGACTTCTGAGGTAAGGTTATGGCCAGGATGACATTAGCTTGGCACACCAGGCTCTTCACACTGTGGTCTGACTCAGCCTTTTTCTTTTCTTTTCAATTTATTTATTTATGCATATAAGAGCTGTGGGCCAAAGGTGCGGGGGATGAGAGGACTCACCAGTGACAGAGTGGGGAACAAAACAGGTGGATCCACTGAAATACACTGCTGAGGGGAGCAGCGGGCAAGACAGGAGAGGTCTGCTGTGCCATGTGGGTATCTCCCTGGCCGGCCAGGACTCAAACCCGGCTGCAGTAGCTGTGGATTGCTTTGCTGAAGCTTAACCCCTTGCACCACCAGGGAGGCCCCCAACTCAGCCTTTTTCCTGCCTTTTCCCTCTTTGAACTTCTCATCTTTCTTTGAGAAGGTTATGGGTTTTGTACTTATTATTCCAACCACTTGGAATAGACTCTCGCTTCATCTTTAGACATATCATCTATATATGATATAACTTTGTTCATCTCTTATCTCTAGAAAATCTAGAGATAACTACTATCTTTAGACTTCCTATGTGCTTTGTTTATATGTTTCTAGAGTATTACTTACTGTGATTTTTAAATGTTTTTTGTTCTACCATATTCCATGTGAGAATGGAGGCATGTATTGTTACAGTAGGCAGTCATTACCTGTTCATATTCTGACCTCTTTTACGCTTGAGGTGAGCAGTTATACCACAGCTGATTTATCTTTGTAATTCTTCAGCTTCCTTTTGAAATGAGGGAAAATATAAATAATCATCTCACCATCCTCAGTGCCTGACACAGTGCCTGGGATGGCATGTCGTAGGCCCTCCATGAATTTTGTTGAATAATTGATGTCAGTGCTCATTCCATGAAACCCTTACTAACAAATAAAACAAAATTTCATATTCATTTTTATTGAATTGCCAGTTGATATATGAATTCTGTAGTGATCCATAGGAGTTCAAAAAGAATCCCCAGAAAAGAACTCTTTCTTCTCCCATGCATCTATGAAATCTGACTATAAATTGTTCTTTTTGTCCTGGAGAAACCACACCAATTTGGACATATCATAACACCCAGTCATCCCTTGATTTTTTGGGAGGAAATTAAAAATTCATTATATCATTAAAAAAATGGCAATATGATAAAAAAGATCTATATTCAGGACACATATCTAAATTTGATCTAGAATAAGTAAGAGTTCTCTATTCCACAAGCTAACTCAAGCTTACTCCTAAACCTAAAAGAATAACCCTGTTCCCACTGATAAGTAAAAAGCTTTCTGGTATGCAGAAGTATGACTGTCATTACCACATGATAAACACTAATCTGTCCAGAGTAACACATAAAGAGGCTGAACAGCTTGTCTAAAAACATCAAACAACTAAAAAACTTTTGAGTGAGAAACTAGTTAAGGTATGTCTTAACTGTGGGTGTCACCCAAAAATAATCTTATTAGAATTGGAGGGAAAAACTGTTCATCATTTAAAGTGTCGGCCTTGCTGAGGAGCAATTTGGAAATATGTATTAAAAGTCTTAGAAACGTGTACTTTTTGAACTAGCAATTCTAATGCTGGAAATTTGCCTTCAATAAATAAATCTTTAAAAAAACAATGGGGGATCAGCTGGATAATTTGATGGTCACATGATGAAATACTATGCAACCATCAAAAACAATTATAAGGAAAATCCATGTTTTGTATATATTTTTTTAAAGGTTTATTTATTTTTATACAAAAGCCGGGGTACAGGCCACATGCGTGGGAGGGTGAGAGGATTCGCCAGAGACAGAGCAGGGAACAGAACAGGCAGACTGACAAAATACACTGCTGAGGGGAGCAGCGGGCATGACAGGAGAGGTCTGCCCGCCATGTGGGGCCCTCGCCGGCCAGCCAGGATTGAACTGGCTCTGCAAAGGCTGCGGACAGCTTCACAGCACAGCGCTCAACCGCCTGCACCACCATGTTTGGTGGAGGCCCCATGTTTTGTATATTAAGAAAAAGATAGGTGACAAAATTAGTATATATGATATGATCTTCCTGCTATTTAGAAAGCAGATTGTATTGAAGTAAATTATAAGTAGATGTCTTGCGTTTTTCTTTTTGCTGTTTATACTTTCCAATATATTGACTGTGTAGTGCTGTGTCATAAGAAAAAAGAGGATTTTTTTTTTTAAATACTAAAAAAAAATCTTTTAATTGTCCCATCTACAGGGAGATTCCATGGAGCTAGAGATTTGGTGTCTTGAAATGAATGAAAAGTAAGTGCTCTGTCTTAGGGTCCTTGCTCGGGGAGGCCGAGGGTAAAGCATATGATGCTGTGTGAAAAGCAGGGCTTTGTTATCAGCATGGGGTGTGGGGCGGCGGGGGGTTTGGGAGGACAGGGGGTGTACTGACCACTTAACAAAGCCAAGATGTCTTTGCTATAATTTTCTTCCTGCTGCACTTCCAGCAGAGTCACAGAGATGACCTTCGGAGGGAGTGTTAGTCCAGAGAGAGACTCAGACACCACAGGGAGAGGAATAGAGAGCGAGCTGAAAAGGATTTGTTGTTTTCCCAGAGTACAGATAGTTCTCTGATTAAATCCCTTGTGAACTCTTGTAACATGACGACCCTGTTTTGTCTGTTCTGGGTGGCAGACATCCAATAAGATTTCCCCTCACTGCTCCTTTTTTCACATACTTGGTTGGACATGGATTGGAAATGCATGTTATTTTCCTCTCTATTTTCTTCTTTCAAGAGAGATTAGCTTATTTCCTGCCTTAAGTTTCAGTTTTCAAAGTGTCTATAGGAAAATTAAAGAAATAGCAACACATCAAAAAACCAAACAGTAATAAGTGTGAGGTGTGGGCATTATTTTTCTTTCTTAAATAGGAAACAATTAATTGCCAGAATATGTCCAAAATTTTTTTTCTATAGAGGCATGTTTTATTTATTTATTTATTTGCTTGCTTGTTTGTTTTGTTTATACATGCACTGGGTACAGTCAGAAGCGCGGGAGGGTGAGAGAATTCACCAGAGCCAGAGCGGGGAGCAGAGCAGGCAGAAGGACCGAAGTACACTGCTGAGGGGAGCAGCGGGCGGCAGGAGAGGTCTGCGCGCCATGTGGGACCCTCCTCCGGTGGCCTGGGAGCAGCCGGGGATCGAACAGGCACCGCAGAGGCCTCGGGCAGCTTCGCAACCCAGCACTCAACCTCTGCGCCACCGTGGAGGCCCAGAATATGTCCAAAATTTTAGACCAGACTTTTCTGCATATTTCCTGCTAGATGTTTAGAGATCAATCTTAGTAAGATAGCACATTGATTCAAATTATGTTTGCATGTTCAGTAATATAATTGCAATATGCAATACTATTTTCTAGTGTGCTGCTTAATTTCCTAGAAAGGTAACTGCTTCAAAACTAGAAAACTTATTGGGTGTCTTGATGTCACCTGCCTTTGTGTAATGATTGAGAAAGTGAAACTTTGGTTACCTTCAACAGTCTTTTGATAAACTGACAATCTGAACCTTTAGTTCAGAACATGTTCTATTGATAAATTTAATTTCGTACCATTCTAGTGTTGCATATACCACTGTCTCTGTTGACTGTAATAGTCTCTAAATGATATAGTTGGACTACAAAGCAAATTATATTCTATTTGAATTCATGAATAATGTTACCAAATTAATCTCAGGTACTACATGCAACATTAAAATATTTCTATACCCATTGATTTCTGTTCTTTGTTTTATGTTAGTTGAATAGGAAAATGCTGATAGTGTCTTTTGCTCCACAGGTGTGATAAAGAAATTAAAGTTTCCTACACGGTGTACAACAGACTGTCATTGCTGCTGAAGTCCCTCCTTGCTATAACTAGAGTGACCCCAGCCTATAGACTCTCCAGAAAACAGGGGCACGAATATGTCATATTGTACAGGTAACCAGCTGCTTACCTTCTTGATTCACTCATCAGCCACATCACCCTGCACTGACCGCATTCCGATGTTCTTGATTAATTCATGGACAGATGGTTGGTTAAACGGTTGATTCTATAGCTTTACTTCGCGTCGCTATCCATCCTCCCTTATGAGTCTTGGCTTTCCAAAACCACCAAGTTCATCATCTTTTATTGATACAGTCATGATTCCTGGGGAGCGGATTTATAACTGAAAACTGGAAAAGGAGTTTAAGACACAAAAATACAGACTCTCTTGGGAGAATTCCATAGCCTTCTATGTTCCAATGTTAAAACTTCTCTCTAACAGCTAATTCAATTTCAGTTTTTAACTAATTATCTGTGGCATAAAGAATTGATCAGTAGTTCTTTAAATATTCTCCTCAGAGTATTTCACCTCAGCACATACATATTGGTGCCTTTTTAATGCATGCATTGTGCTAGGCGTAAGGAAGAACTAGACAGAGACACTAATGATTCTAATCTGATGGGGGAAACAGTTTGGTACATGTTTAATTATAATAAAAAGCAAGATCTGAGAACTGCATAACAGTATCAGGGAAAAGGCACTGGTAGAATACAGGAAGGGAAAGTGTGTTATGGGAGAGACAAATAAGGTCGGCTTCATAGAGGAAGTAACATTCAAGCTAGACCTTGCAGCAGAGTACAGGTAGAACTGAGGGAGAGTGATCCTTGCAGGTGAGGCGCACTGCAGATGGCAAGGCCCAGAATGGGGGAGTAGGGAACGAGCTGTGCTTTGGTTGTCAAAGAGACTGAGTGTGGCTAGAGGACACAGCAGAAAACGTGAGACTAGAGCATGGAAAGGTAGGCATTTTCCAGGACTTTAATACATTCTCTTTTAATTTTCCTAGGTTTAAGATGAGTATTCTATTTGAAAATTACTAGACTTTTATTTAGATATAATAGAAAGGTTACTTTCTAACTCATCTCATTTACTATGCCAAGTCCTCTTCACTTAAGCTCTTTTATGAGTAGCCATACTGCATGACTAGTCATCAGCTCAGTTAACTAGGATTCCTAGTCTATTTTTATATTAGTGTTTAAATCTTGTATCTCTAGAGTAATATAATATTCACTGTTTTATCATTTAGGAGTGCTTTTAGGTACAAATAACTAGGTTAAACCATAGCAGAGTGGATGACCCCAGAGAGTGATTTGCTCTAACAGGTTAACATTAAAGAATAATATTGTCTTTTAACCTGTATGATCTTTTTTCCCCCTGATTGTATAGATTTGATCATGTCACAGTAGAATTATATTCCTTTGAAAACTCATGATTTTTTTTGATCATCAAGACAATTAAAACTTTATTGTTTACTCTCTCTGAAGAAAACTTTTGCCTAGCCCCTGCCTAGCATGCAGAGTATAGCCAAGGAAATGTTTAGCATAATTAATTTCAAGTACCATACCTAGTAGATTCTCTCTTGGCAACACATTATTAACATCAATCCTGAATCACTCTGTGGCTGAAGACTGTACACTGTGGTCAGCAGATCACCTACTTTTTTTTTTTTTTAAGATTTATTTATGCATACAAGAACTGGGGTGCAGGCCAGAAGTGCAGGGGGTGAGAGAATTCACCAGAGACAGAGTGGGGAGCAGAACAGGCAGATCTATTGAAATGCACTGCTGAGGGGAGCAGTGGGTGAGACTGAGAGGTCTGCTGCACCATGTGGGTTAGCTCCCTGCTCGGGGATTGAACTCATGCTGCTGTGGCTGTTGATAGCTTCATGGTGCTGAGACTTAACCCCTTGTGCCACCAGGGAGGCCCTCACCTGCTTGTTTTTATAAAGTTATTTAAAACACAGCCACCCCATTCTCTTATGTGTCCATCTATGACTACTTTTGCAATACAGCAGCAAAGCTCAGTAATTGTGTAGCCTCAAGCCTGAAGTATTTACTACATGGTTCTCTTTTAAAAGTTTGCCAACCCCTGCTTTCAGTTGTTTGTATGAGTGTATTTCAGATATTTTATACATGCCTTTTCTTCCACATCAGACTGTAAAATGTGGGACCTCAGATTAAGATCTATCCTGAATCTTACCCTTAATTTGTCTTTATATCCTCCCTAACATCTAACCATAAGACTTTGTACATTGCTGGAGCTTATTATTTATCTAATAAACCCATATATGTAGTTAATTTTTAACTGTTACTTAAAAAACATAAAAATACATTGTAAGTATTTTTTAATTCAGACTTTTTGCTAATGTAGATTGGTCTTCCCAGAGAGCTCATGAGAAGGTTCCTATGTTTATATTTTCATATATTCAAGATCGTCTTACCTCTAACTTTATGATGGGCAAGATTTTTTAAATTTCTAAACCAGTTTCCTTTGGGATGACTGGTTGTAAGCATAGAGATAGTCAAAGACCTCTCTTCACAATTTAGTTTTTTCTAATAGTATTCCCAGATCCATTTACTAATTTTATGTATATATTCTTATTTCCCAGTAGGTGTTCTATTAAAACACATTTCAGGAGCAGGAGGAAGAAACTTAAATAGCAGTTTCCACTTAATTATTATTTTCCTCACTTTTTAATCATCTTCATATATATGCCCTTGCCTGAAGCTTAACTGAAGTAGTGTCATCATCACGCCGTTAGGGGAGGTGTTCACGCAGATAAGGGAAGAGGGTTGGTTGGTTTGTTTTGTTTCTAGGTGTTTTGACTATGGAGGCCCTTAAAATAAAAAGGTAACATTTATTTTTTTTCCCTACAGGATATATTTTGGGGAAGTTCAGCTAAACGGCTTAGGAGAAGGTATGAATCAAGGCTGAAAATCATTTGTAGTGTTAAGAGCTCTCCTGTCTTTACAGATGGACTTGGATGATGCCTGTAGTAACATGTAACTTGTATCCTTAATATTTATACTATAAGTAAGGAAAATATAAGGTAGGTAAGTGATCTAGAGAACTGCCAGGGAACATCTAAGTGATTCCTGAAGTTCCAATAACTCAATATTCTTTCTTTTTATATAATTGTCTGTTCTTCTTATTTTCTACAATGATTGTTATACATTTCTGTTGAGCATCAACATGTTTGAAAAATTGGAAATGAGGCTGGGGAAAACCAGGAGAGCTTGCTGGAAGTATTACCTGCAAGGCCCTGGCTCTTTTCTAAACTTAGTTCTGAGGTGGCAGCTTGGGTGGGAGTGCTGTTTCTTGAGATGTTTGTATGACAGACTCCTAGTGCCCCTTCCCTGTCTCTTTGGACATGTGACACATCTGGGCAGGACTTGTGCAAGCTTTAGGATTAGCAGTTGTTTTACCTCTTTGAAGGCAGTTTTATGTGGAAATATAAGGTCAATATAGTATTAATTGAAAGAAAAAATATATGTGTGTGTGTGTGTGTGTGTGTATATATGAAATTGAGGTTGCTGCACTTCAGTTGCTAAGTTGGTAATGCTAGAGGTTATACAATAGACTGATTTAGAGAAAGACAGACTGAGAATGGTGGTGTGGGGCTTGTCAGTATTCTCTAGGAAAAAGCTAATAATTTATCTCTTCTCCTAGGTTTCCAGACAGTTCGTGTTGGAACAGTGGGCACACCGGTGGGCACCATCACTCTTTCTTGTGCTTACAGAATTAACTTGGCATTCATGTCCACCAGGTGAGGAAGAGCCTTGGAATTCAAAGGAACTGTTCTAAAGGTTTTCCCCCACAAACCCCAAAGTGCAGCCTATAATTCATCTTTGCCACTGCTGAAATCAGCCCCCTTCAGAAGAATAAAATCAAGAAAAAGTGGTTTCCAGATTGGAGAATCTGCATGTCCCCAAACCAATTTGTCCAGAACATAGAGTTCTTGGTTTACGGTTAGGGATGTAGTAGTCAAGGCTCTGTTGGCTCCTGCCAACAGATAAAAAGGTCAGGGGTCTCTGAGGACTTGTGAGGGGGTGCTCGCAAGGCAGTCTAACCAATACTGTAATCTGCTTTTTGTATTACAGGCAGTTTGAGAGGACCCCACCTATCATGGGCATTATCATTGATCATTTTGTGGATCGTCCCTACCCCAGCTCCTCACCCATGCATCCCTGCAATTACAGGTGAGGAATAGTAAGGACACTCCTCTAAACCATAGCAAGGAAAAGAAAAAGTGGGCAGAGGGTAGCAAGGGGGGATACCCCACATGGAAAGAAATGAAGTAATTAGCTTCCCTTCTTGCTGCTGCCTGTTAGGTACATCAAGATTTGGGGTATACAGAATGTCTCAGGACATTTTGCATCTTTTTTTTTTTTTTAAGATTTTTTTTTTATAGTTTCCTTTTTTTTTTTAAGATTTATTTTTTTATTTATACAATAGCTGGGGTACAGGCCAGAGGCGAGGGAGGGTGACAGGATTCACCAGAGACAAAGCAGGGAGCAGAACAGGCAGGCGGACTGAAAGCACTGCTGAGGGGAGCAGCGGGCGCGACAGGAAATGTCTGCCGCACCATATGGGAATCTCTCTGGCTGCATGGGAATCGAACCCGTGCTGCAGAGGTTGCGGACAGCTACACAGTGCTGTGCTCAACCCGCTGCGCCACTGGGGAGACCCCATTTTGCATTTTGACAGTAGTGATTTGACTTTTCTTAGTGGCAGATTACTTAGAGACAACGAGAGTGACAGTGATTTGTGGCATGTTCTTGCATAATAAATTGTTTTCATCTCACGCAGTTCAGCTATACATCAGAATCAAATGTCTCTGGGCCTAGGTCCCAGAAAACAGAATTCTCTAGAGGTAGGGATCAGTGTATATTCAGAAAAGATACCACCTTTATGTGAGGACTTGTGAAGTTGGATGGGCTTGTGTTTAGAGTCTGCACTTTGTTTATTAACAATTCTTTGAGATCCTAAGTCTGGCCCCCAGCACTGGCCAATACTTTCTCACATAGTATGTCAGGTAAGATGTTTTGTTTTTTTTTTTTTTTTTTTTTTTTTTTAATAGAGGCATGTTTTGGTTTTATTTATTTATTTATTTGTTTGTTTGTTTTGTTTATACATGCACTGGGTACAGTCAGAAGCGCGGGAGGGTGAGAGAATTCACCAGAGCCAGAGCGGGGAGCAGAGCAGGCAGAAGGACCGAAGTACACTGCTGAGGGGAGCAGCGGGCGGCAGGAGAGGTCTGCGCGCCATGTGGGACCCTCCTCCGGTGGCCGGGGAGCAGCCGGGGATCGAACCGGCGCCGCAGAGGCCGCGGGCAGCCTCGCAACCCAGCGCTCAACCGCTGCGCCACCGGGGAGGCCCAAGATGTTTTGTTTTTTAAAAAGCCTGTTGTCATACCCCAAGATGCTGCTCTCCTGGAAATGTTTAAAATCGTCAAGGACTTAACATATCCTCTTGCCATTATGAAGTCTACCTGAAACAATTCTTGTCATACTGCTTTTTTAATCTAACCTGCCTTTGTTATCCCTTCAGAAACTGATTGCCATCACCAGAAAATTCATGGGTTTTTTTCTTTCACGTTAGAACTGCTGGTGAGGACACTGGAGTAACTTACCCTTCTGTGGAAGACTCTCAAGAAGTGTGTACCACCTCTTTTTCCACCTCTCCGCCATCACAGGTAGGAGGAAACAGGTTGGGAGGGGGTGGCTATAATTATTTGGTACATATATGGAGCCTATAAAATGGTATCAGAATTTAGATACAGTCTCTTGGTGGGAGTGGTAGTTTCCACAACCACTCCATTTCCAGGAGGTTCTTGTAAGTGCTGAGAGGGAGTCTTCTCCATCAGGTAAATTGCAGTATATCTAGTTTGTAACTAGTCTTCATCCACAAGATTACACGTTACCTTTACATTCCTAGGGACATCTTAAAATTTCCTGGAAAATCAGTCACAGAATTTCAGATGCATTCTGCTATCAGGGAGGCCCGCTGACCTATACTTGTTAACTTGCTAGCTCCCTCTTTTTTGAAGAGGTAAATACCATTCCTGCTAATGGAAGGAGCACAGAAGGAACCAATAATTATTTAGCATAATATGCCAGCAAGCATACAGTAAGGCAGTTTTTCTTAGTTGTTGACACAGATTTCTGCTATCTTTATTCTCTATTTGAATATTTTTAACCATTAACTTTTCCACTTGAGTCAATCTTTAGTGTCAAATCCAGTTTCAATAGTGAAGAGGTTCCAGAAAAATGTTCTCCACTTCCAGGGAGGAAGTAATGTGGTCTTGTATAACATACATGATACTCAGATGGCTTCAGCTGACAGTCATTTTTGACAGTTGACTGAATTTCAGGGCACATCTCTTACCCGAGTCATTCATCTTCTACCTCATTGCCTGCAGATCCTGCTCACCATGTCCAGCCTGGCCCTCTTTGACTTTCACATTGGATAGTTTCTTCTAGACCTAGCTCAGTTCTGTTCCCATTAAATTACCTCAGATGGTTCCTTTTCACCATCATATTTAGGGCACCCAACAAACTAGCTTTTCATAAGTTTTTATTATGTGTTTTTCAATGAAGAAAAAATTTGAATTCATTCCATCCTGGGTGGTTCTGAGATACTGTATTAAAAAAGATTGTTAAACAGTTTGATTTGGTATTGTGAAAACGGTTATTCCCTTCTCCCCACAAGTACATTAGGCCTGAGTGTCACCATTGTTGTGGGAGGGGTAGCATCCAGTACACTTACTGACATAAAGAAACACTGCTCCAAAGAGGGGGAGAGGAGCTCACTTCCTTACTAGTGCACATTAATGGGAGTAGATTTTTTTGACAATAAAAATATGACTATTTTGAATTTAATGTTCATTAAGCAGTTTTATTTTGTTTTACAAGTGACAATTCATAAGCAACATAAAAAGTTGTGACTTGGGAGAAACAAGAGGTGGTAAGGCTGGGCTTTAATTAATCAGTTGCTCTTCTCTGAGACAGTGGAAATTTGACCCAACACCAAAAGTAAAGGCAAGTTAAGCATTTTCTACACCTGATGTTTGCATAAGTCTTTTAACCTATGTAAAGGGAGTCTTTTTCATGCTATCACTTGCCATTTGAGATTTAAAAGTAGCTCACACCAAGATCTTATGAATATTGAGTACCCTTGAGTCCTGTCAGTACTCCCTGAGCACCTCTGAGCAAGCCTGGTACAGTTTGGTGCAGAAATACTCATTTTAAACCTTGAGGATAGAACAGAGGGGGAAAATCACTAGCCATCAGGTCTGCTTGTTCCAGTAAATGTTGAAATAGTCCTTTGGTTTAACCTAGGCACTTGCATAATTGTTCAACAACTTCTATTTGAGCTTTTGCTAGAGTCCAGTAAATACATGTTAAAGTGATGTTGTTTTGCCAAGAAAATAAGGGTCATTGTATCTTTTGGACACAGAGTTTGAATCAAGACATAGATGTGACCTTTAACCTGCTACTGTGACTTAAGGTTGTATCTCTAATTCTAAGCATGAATTCACTACTTAGTCTTAAAGATAAACAGCAAGACCCAGAATCACCATCATGCCCATAATTAACTTGGAGATCATAAAAGTTTTGAAAGTACACTTTCAAACAGTTTTTATCCCTTCAATTGTCTTGCACCATCTGGGATAGAGTATGGACACACACACATTCTCTGTGCCTGTGGCTGCACAGTGCACATACCCATTCATCTTCCCTGGGATGATATAGGAAGACATACCTGAGCATTTTGCAGTCCCAACCAACAAATGTCAACTGTTTAAACCTGTCCCTGCAGACTCTGGGTCCCCAGAAAAAGGTCTTCAGTCTGACATGAGCTTAGCAGCCTGGTCCTCATTCATCCTCAGCACACTGAGCATCTGCTCTCAGGCCTGACTGTTGGAGGCTATTCTCAAGCATCCTTCCACGCTTTGTTGACTCAAGACAGACTAATGCTTGTTTCGGGTTTCTGTTTTGCAAGTCATGCCAGTTTGACTCAGCTGTGTTTTCTACCTGCTCATCAGGGGGACAGGCAGGTAGCGGAGCGTCCTGGGCTAAACATCTCTTCTTCAGACCCTTCCCGGTTGTCCTTTCAGGAAGGCCGCGCGGCTTTCTCTCCTGACTTACCTTTGTGCGTTTCAGCCTCTGTTGCGACTGCCCCGTCCAGAGTTTTTTCACTTCTTTCTCAAGTCCCTTTTTTTCTTCTTTTCTTTCTCCTGTCTCTGTGTGTGTCTGTGCACAGTGTGTGTTTACTGTCACAAAGGCACATTTTCAGACCCCTACTCCTGTGGTGACGGACACCCTGAGGGTCCCCATGGCAGGACTGGCCTTTTCCCATCAAGTGAGTCCACAATGGGAAGACGGGGATGTAGTCAGATGGCGTTTTTAATTTAAACACTGTAAAGAAAGTAACGGGTTTCGCTATCTCAATGTCCCCAAGTGTTCCGTGGGTTATTCTGAGGCTTGGTCATTGAATTTTAACAGGACACGCCATAGCACAGCAGCCCCAGAGAGGAATTTTCATTTGTTCCTCCTCCTCCCATTGATGTGAAACATACATGGAGTTATTTATATCTCTTTCCAAATAAACAATCCAAGAGTGGTATTTCTTTTTTAAAATAAATAGGAACCCTCCCATACCCAGGAGTGGTGGAGGGTGTGATCAGAGAAACCCATTTCAAAGGGACGTGAAGGACAGAGGAGAAAATAGAATGACCTGGGAAACACCGATGACTTGGACTCAAAGTTCTGTCTGGGCTTGTGTGCTATAGACCTGCTGGGCCAGAAACTGAAACAGTTAGCTGAGTCCCTGGGAAAAGGGGGGGGAATTCATTTTGAGGCGACTGAGAGACTCCAGAGCTGGGAATCTGTCCCACCACAAATAAGTCTCTATTTTCTTATGTAAAATGTCGCGGCCTGGTCTGTCTTTAATTAACTCTTCCATCAGGCCCCCAGCCCCATGAGGATGTGGGCTGGGCTTATCCCTTACCTCCACTGACCTTGATCGTTAGTCATGCTCTAGGATTGCCTAGTTTTTCCTCCTCCTTTCCTTTGCCCCTCTTTGTTTTTCTCTTGCTTAGCTCTCAAGCTCTCGCCTTTCCTATCAGCCTGCTGCCCTGGGCGTTGGATCAGCTGACCTGGCTTATCCAGTAGTGTTTGCTGCTGGCCTAAATGCCACCCACCCTCACCAGGTATCTTTAAAGAAGGGGAGAATCCAGGGGGTTTTCTGTGCTGCCTCCCCTGCCTGAGGCAGCTGAGGGGCCTCTTGTGACCTCAGTAGTTTTCTAAGTATTCTCAAGCTAAAAACCCTTGCATAACTTTGGAGGTCTGATGCGACTCTGTGCAGAAGGGACCTCTTCCCCTTCAGAGTGGAAAGAAGAGCTTCCCGGGGATCTTCTCCCTCTTTCCTTTCCCTCTATAGTCATTGCCATGCATGTTTCTCAGGAACTGAGTCCCAGAGAAGGTAAAGCTCCTGGGTTTCCTGCCCACTTGGTGGCAGCATTGGTGATGGAAAAATGTGTAAGCGGATACCATCATGCTAGGCCGTGAGCTTCCCTCCTGCCTGATGCTGCCATGATTCACTGTATTTTTCCATTTTCCCCCAAAGCTAATGGTTCCTGGGAAGGAAGGTGGGGTACCCCTTGCTCCCAACCAGCCTGCCCACGGTGCCCAGGCTGACCAAGAGAGACTGGCAACCTACACCCCTTCCGATGGGGCCCATTGTGCTGCCACACCTTCCAGCAGGTGAGCTCGCCTCTCGGTTCTGTTGCTGCTCTGGCCAGCCAGGGCCTGGCCTCCCTGACATATGTGCTTATTTGGTATCAACAAAAGGAGCTTTCAGCATTGGCTCGGGTTTGGCATTTACACCCAAAATGTGGAATCCTTGACATTCCTGATAAGAATCTTAGGTCACAGCTGGTATGTAAGGACGCTGGCCTGGGGCTGCACAGCTAACAGCAAACATGGGGGCTTGGCTCTCATCACTGTTGTCTTGTGAAGGCGTTTTCAGATGTTTTTCTCTTGTCCCAAGATTTATTCCTTTCAAGTCGATTGGTCCTCAGTGTTTCCTGAGGACAGGGATAGGGTGTTTACCATAGCCCTGCAGTCTGGGGCCTCAGTGTATCTCTGGCGGTAGTTAGGATTGATTTTTTCATCCATGTAACAGCCTCATGGAGAACCTTGAGAAACAACTATTGTCCCTCAGTAAAAAATGTTTTACATTAAATCTTTGTCTTTTCTGATTATAGAAATGATACAGTCTTTAAATTCAAATTATAGCAACATGGATTACATAGACAGTTCTTTTATCCTCACCCTGTACAAATCGCCACTGTTACCACCTTGTAAAAGATGAGAGGATCTTAGAAGGATTAAGTAACTTGCCCCAGAGCTGGGCACACACTAGCTCCCCGAATGGAAAGCCCACACTCTCTTTCCATTACACCCAGAGTCCTCCCGTGGGAAGCTGAGGCTGTCTTGACCTCACCTGACCTGCCCTCCCCAGAGATAATGACGTTGATTGCCCCACCACATCCTAAATGAACTTTTGGATAATAGAAATTCCTGGTAGTCTTTTCTCATTCCCACGGTGGAGTGGTGGGAGGGGACTCATTTGGGAAAATCTTTCTGTGATGTCCATCAGGAATAATAATTACTTTCATTCCTGGCTTCCCAGATTTCCATCCTGTCATCTCTCACCCTGTTGGATTATCAAAGGAAGATCTGTTAGTCATTTTACACTCTCATTTTCTGAGCCTTGACCCCGAGGGCATGTTAGAGTAGCTAACAACAGAGGAGCTGATGTAGGGCGTTCTGAAGTATACGGCCTTACCTCAGTGCAGGTCTTAGGAGTCCAGAGGTTGGTCACTTGGATGGCACAGTCCACCTTCTCACCTTGAACCCCTGGTTTCGGCCAGAAGACCCTTCCTGTAGCCTGCTGTTTGCAAGGGGTGACTGCTAGTCTGGCAGCCACGGTATATGGGCCCATTTGTGCTCCTCGGAGCCCCCTTCCAGGACTCTAAGTCAGTCTTGAGGGCTGGAAGGGAGGGACGAAGGGAGAGCAGCCTGACTGAACACGTGGTTCAGAGACCTTGGGGAGAGAGGGATGAAGGGCCAAGGAGACGTAACATGGTGCAGAGCACAGGCAGCCTTGGCCCAGGTAGCGAGTCAGGGCAGGGGAAGTTCTGACTGTGCAAGAATCAATGCGCGACTATTGACTTGGGATAATGGTGATGTCCTACGTCAGATAAGGCTTAAATTTTACATTATACTGTAGTAACAGAACAAAAAAAGAAAGGAAGCTGAACTCTTAAGTCTGTCTAGGTAGTAGATGAATAATGAAAGTTTGAGTTGTTTACTAGAGCTTGCCTGTACGTATGAGTGCTAAATGCATGGTAAATGGCGCTTAGTGTAATTTCAGATAAATTTTACGTAAGCTTCACACAATTGTAACACTAAATTTCACTCACATGTGAATAATACGTGGTTCCACGAAATGTAGTCCTCTGCTATGCATTCAAAAGGGGAGGGTGACGATGCTGCCACCCCACATATGGCCCTTCCCATGTGGGTGGGCTGGTGGGTGGCAACCCCTGCTGTAGGCCGCAGCCCCTCAGGACTCCTTTTTGGTTTGAGAATGAGTGCCAACATCCCCTTTCTTCTCCAGCGAGGACACGGAAACTGTATCAAACAGCAGCGAGGGACGCGCCTCCCCCCATGATGTCTTGGAGACCATCTTTGTCCGAAAAGTAGGGGCTTTTGTCAACAAACCCATCAACCAGGTGATTTTTTTCTGTCGCTGTGGAAATATCTGAGCCCTTGTAGTGACGTCCTACACTCAGGGTTACTAACCTGTGCCACCACTGGAACTGCATGCAAAGTGTGTGTATGCGGGCACACGAGTGAGTGAGAGAGTTTTTCTGTGCATAGGGTTAATAACCCATGATGCCTCTCCAGAAAAAGTTATGAACTATTCTATGATCTTGTGAGCCTCCACAGGAGAGCAACTAGACGTCACTTAGTACAAACACATTGACCTGAAGCTCCATTCCCTCAGCCTGGCTTGTTACAGAAAGTCCTTCCTCAGCCCCGCCAGTGAAGCACAGTTGTTATTGAATCACTGTGCATCAGGCTTCCAGGCTGAATTCCCAGGCTGGGGAAACTAGCTCCTATTTGTGCTGTGAGCTTTAATGGGGCCTCCAACAAGACAGGAGTTGGGGGGCAGCATGATCTTCTGGGTGTTTCAGGCTTCTGGCAGCTTCTCAGGAGTCACTTGAGCTCGGACGGGGGTGGGACAAATGCTTCCTCCTGTGCCTCTTCAGGTGACCCTGACCAGTTTGGATGTACCGTTTGCCATGTTCGCTCCCAAGAATTTGGAGCTGGAGGATGCAGATCCCATGGTGAGCCCACCACTGACTAAAGTCTCCGTGCAGTAAGTGGTCGTCCTTCCTGGCAGGGCCAGCCGCGTCCCTTGGCTCCTGGATTTGCAGCCAGCAATGGTCCCTTACAGAACCTTTGATGATAAGTCACTTGCACCCAGTGCACAGTATCAGCCCCTCCCTCTGCCTTCTTCTGAAACAGGTGAATCCACCCGACTCCCCAGAGACTGACTCTCCTCTCCAGGGGAGCCTGCACTCCAATGGCTCCAGCAGGGGCAGCAATGGCAGTTCTCATGATGATTTCGTCATGATTGACTTGGTAAGTTCCATCACCTCCGGGACCTGTACCACCCCAAGGGGAAAAAAAACCTGAAGGGATCCACTGTGTGCCACAGGACTTCCTTCACGGGGATCCAGTGGGCTGGCGCCAACAGGGCATAGGGTGGCGCTGTGGTTCTGTGTGGAGAAGCTGCCCAGGTTGTCTGCCAGCAGAGCAGCGAGGCATTTAGTCTTGTCTTTGGGTGAAATCCAGCTCCACCTGGGCTTTCCTAGCGGTAGTCATGTCGGTCCTAGTCATGCCTAAATGGATGGCCCTTTGCGAAGAAAAGGCCTTTGAAGGAAGGGGACATGTACCTAGTGGGGAGAGGAACGATTCGAAGTTAGTTGCTCAGAAGGGGCAGGTGTAATGAAGGGGCAGGTTCTCTCCTGAAGGTCAGCCTGGGGGGCCTTTTCTTGGATAATCCCTGGAAGGAAAAGGGCTTAATCATAGCTTCTGTTTGCCTCTTTCCAAGGCAAGCTAAACTGAATCTGTCTTGTTTTTGAAGAAACCGGCTTTTTCTAAAGACGACATTCTTCCAATGGACTTGGGGACCTTCTATCGTGAATTTCAGAACCCTCCTCAACTGAGCAGTCTCTCGATAGATATCGGCGCACAGTCCATGGCTGAGGACTTGGTATGGACACTCCCCCACCTTGCTCGTCTTTGACTTCCCTCCCCGCTTGATGGTTATTCCTACTCCACAGGCCTAGAAAATTCTTCCTGTTTCTTTACTCACTCCCACACCCTCCATTTCCCTGTAACAGAAAAGAGACTCCCTGAGACCACTGTCATCTTTCGATTATGCTCCAGATTTGCATGGTGCCTGGTAGTCATTGCTGTGAGTCTGCGTGTGCTAACTTCCTTGTCCTCTCTGCAGATTGTTTACATACCCCCGTGGCTCTGTGCCTCATGCCCTCTGCTTACTGATGCCACTGAGCCCGTCGGTTTCTGCAGCTCTTGCCAGGCAGAGGCCAGTGGTGCAGAGCAGAAGACATGGAAGGTCCCCAGCCATGCCGGTCTTTCCTTTCCCAGCAGAGCTCATCCCCTCAGCTGCGGTTCTCATGGTTAGCTACATAACTTAATCCTGCCTCCATCTCCCACTCCTGCCTTCGGCGGGCAGAGGAGTGCCCTGCTTGGCCAAACATTCTGGGTGCCCAGTGCCACAAGATGTCAGGATCCCTCTGCACTGGCGGAGGATGTCCCCTCTTACTTTGAGATACGAGGAATAGCTCCAGGAATCGGGGATCTGGGAACAGCTGCCCTTGGTTTGCTTTAACCAGAGATGCACGCTCAGCAATAAAAACTGCAGTAATGTCATTGTGACCTTTACCAAGGCGTTCTCGGTACCTTATTATCTGAGTTTACAGAGGAGAAATCCGACACTGAACAAATACCGTGCCCATGGGCACACGGAGCTGGCAACACAAAGCTCTGATCTGAGAGAGTCTGGACTGAGAGCCTGTGTCTGAGAGAGTCTGGACTCGTAACTGCTGACTCCCTTGCCTCGCACTTGGCATGCGCTGGGACAGGTGACCATCAGCGCCTCCACAGCCAGTGCAGGTGACGCCGGGGCCGCTGCGCCTCCAGGGCTGTCCAGGGTGTCTGGGCCACTTGATAGTTGCTGAGGCAGGAGGGCTTCCCACCTCTCCCCATTGCCTGGTGCCTGTCTGGAAAGCTTCCAGGATGGGTGCACTCTTCAGGTGCAGTTGGTATTGGTTATTCATCAGCGGATGGAGAGCTTTCTTCCTCCTTTTAGACTGGCTAGACGCAAATTTATATTAATAGTTGGTTCTTGAGAACAGTTAAATTTACTCCTCATGGTTCTGGTTTCTTCTGTTTTTCACTGTTCTCTTTTATCTCCTCTAACCCATTTGGGGGTGGGGGAGGGGTAATGGCTGCAAATGCCTTGGTCATGGGCCCCAGGGGATTCTGAGGCCCAGCTCGGGGTGTGAAGACCTTTTGTAAACTTAATTAATAGAGCACTACACTTACTGTTTTATTCTGGTGTCACTGAGATCTGTGCCAAAGACATTGAACCTTTAACTCCGCTTTGTCATCCTGGTGGTGGTGGGGTCCTTTTCTTTCTCACCGAAGTGGGTGACCCCCTTGGGTGCATGAGGAGTTCTGTCAATAGCCTCTTTCCCCTTGGGCTCCCCTAGAAGCTGAAGGTGTGGCGGCTGCTCAGCGCCCTGCATTCTGCTCTCCCAGCCCCGTACTGCTGAGCCCAGCTCTGTGCTCCTTTGCCAGCTCAGGGTGGCCGAGCGGGCAGTCTCTTCCAGGCCCCTCCCTGAATAAGCAGCTCCTCTCTCCCTCCCCATGCAGGACTCACTACCAGAGAAACTGGCTGTGCACGAGAAGAATGTCCGAGAATTTGATGCCTTTGTAGAAACCCTGCAGTAAAGTTGGTGTCCTCCAGTACCAGCAGCATCCCCTTTTTGTGATCCCGGGAGACAGCCTCCCTCTCATCAGCTGCTTCCATCCCTCATCCTGCTCCCAGCTGGGTGGAAGGGAGACTGGTTTCCCCCATGGGGACCTAGAAGTCCCGCTCTTGCACCTCCTGGAGACTCCATGACCGCAGCCAAGCCCAGTAGCACCTGAGAGAACTCACCCTCTGGCCTTGGAGACGGGAAGCCCCTTTGTAACAAAAGGGCCCTCAGCCAGGCCATCTGCTTCCAGCGCCATCATCAGCTGCTCCACATGGGCTGTCATCGCTCGTCCTGCTGCCAGCCTCCTGGCCGGGTCTGCCTTACCACCGGCCCCTCTCTTGCCTGCCATACCATCAACCACGCGACATTCCAGCTGGTGGCCAGAGGCACGGAGGCAGAAAGAGGAAGGAGACCATGCTGGAAGGAGGAAGGAAGGCTCTCTGTGTCGTCTCCAACTTTAGCTCTGGTATCTTCTTTCCTCTCTCTGCGCCTGTGTCTGCATCTTTGGCAGTGTGACAGGCCTCCTGCCCTAGGTGACGAGAACTCCACAGTCGGCCGTTCCCACCTGTGATGGTTGTCAGCCCGTCCCTTGACAGAGGGCCGTGCGGCCCTGGTGGCTGCCTGTGCTCAGCTCCTCAGCCACGCGCAGCAGAATCCTGTGTTGTTGGGAGTCACAGCATATCTTCTTTTTCCTCTCTCCTCCTATTGCTGCTCCTTGGTTCTAGAACAAGTAAATATTTATTACTTTCAGAGAAATCAGATATTTTATAGAGAAAATATGTTTGAGGCTAGCTGTTTTTCATTTGGGGAAGGTGGAGGGCCTCTTCCTGGGGCGGCGCCTCCTCCAGTGGAGGTTCGTCAGGTTCCGGGTTGCTGCTCTGAGGAGCTTCCTTCCCATATGTATAAGGCGTTGTCCAAGAATGGGCTGGCTGAGGGCAACAGAACCACCCAGGCCACTGCGTTTGAACTGACAACAGGCTTTACCTTGGACACCTATATATTCTTGGTGAGAACCTTGAATCTTCAGCTTCTGCCAAGTGATCGACTCTGTTCTGGCAGCCCGGGAAGTCCTGGGTGCTAAATGTGACGCCTCCCCAGAGTAGTGCACAGTGTCCCCCCCAACTCACCTGGAGAGGCCAGACTGGCTCCGCCTCTGGGGCACCTGTTCTGTTTCTCCAGGCTGGGTTATGGGCTGTTTCCTTCTTCAGCCTGCACCCGCCACCACCGTCCCTCACTCCCAGCTCTGTCCCCTGCCCTGAGGTTTACTGGTCGGATTGGTTCCTTATTGAGAAACCAGAGCTGGGCCTACGCTGACTTAGTCTCCAGGTCTTGTACTTGAATAAGTCAAGTGCCTAGCCTCCCCACCGATCGTCAGCCCCTCTCCAGGGGACTACCTACATGGTAGTCCTGCCAAGGCACATGAGGCCCGCCTGCCCATCTCTCCTGGCCCATGGGGCACTCCTTGGCAGCAGCTGGTCTTGAGTAGAGCAGGCGGCCCCAGCTGCTTGTTAATAAACTGCATGTGACACTGTTCCCACCTACAAGGCTGACCCAGGGGCGGGATCGGGCGCAGATGCTGGCTCAGCCGCCTGTGCATGCCTTCTGCTGTCACAAAGAAATGTTCCCAGCAGTGGTGTCCAAATGGCCTCCTCCTTCTAGTTTTGGGCCGGAGCATACCCATGGCCTGCAAAACCAATCCAAACTTAGCCCCAAGGCCCCGGGTAGGTTGCTGATCGACTGCCCCCCAATCTCTCAGCCACTGCCCTCCTTCCAAGGCCTTGCATGGAAAGGCTTGTTAGCCATTGTCCAAAACAGTTCTCCTTGACCCCTACCTGTTGGCCCCTGCAGGCCGCAGCCTTTCTCAGGACCCCGCCAGTGAAAGGACAAGGGAGGCTGAGCCCTGACTTTGAGCTGAGCCTGGGAGGAGCAGAGCAACTGTCAAGGCCAGCCCTGCCCCTCAACCCTTACAATAAAAGGTGTGAGGCCTAGACTGACTCCTGCAGCACCCCCGGACAGGGCTGGGGCCAGCCTTCTGTCTCCAGATGGCAGAGTCCCCTGTCCTCCAGCCTACCTTGTTTGGAAATATTGAGCTATACTTTACAATGTATTAAGAGATTTCCAATAAATTTTTTCTGTACTTTACAGCTTTCTGTCCTGCAAGTTGTCTAATACCCTGGCCCACTCCCACTTCTGTATAGGTCCGGAGCAGCAGGCTCCCTGGAAGGGGAGATGTGGCATCAGGCCCTTTGGAATTTGGGAGCTTGGCTGCTCACCAGCTGTGCACCTCTCCTTGGTCTGGTCCAGAAGCCTGTGAGAGCTGTAATGTTGCCATTTCTGGGGCTTGTATGTGAACATGCAGTGAGCTAGTGTGTATGAAGTTGTTGTGCATGTGTCTTCCCACAGAAAAGTCTCCATAAAAAAGTAGGCCTTCGTCATCCACTCTATCCCTCTGTCTGCCATGTTCTAGCAGAAACTGGGCTGGGAGTGTGGGGCTTCCTGAGCTGCATGGCATCTGCTAATTGAGTGAGCAGCAGGAAGGAGCCCATGCAAGTTTGTTTAGCTGCCCTGATCTGTCACACAGCCAGGGCTTGGGGCAGTCTCTGAAAAGTAGAAGAGCCCCCAGAGGCTATTCCAGCCTGGCCCCAGGGACTTCTGTGCAGATATCTCAGTCCTGGCAACTCAAGTCCCTGCCTCCTGGTTTGTGCTGAAAGTGGCGGGAAGGGAGCCAATGTCCCAGAGGCAGGGTCAGTTCTAGAGGCAGGAGACTAACTGCCTGACAGACCCAGGCAACTGCTGGCTGGTTGACCTCCCCACTTTTGGACTGAAACCAGGTGCCAGGACAGAAAGGGGCCAGTTAGAAAATTCTAGAACTCAGCCCACACCAGGGCCCTGGGAGCGCTTGCTTATTAGTAAACTGCTTGACATTGCCCGTGATACCTGACCATGCAGCCAGTCAGGAGAGCCGCTGCCCCTGGGTCAGAAGTGGTGAAGATTGTTCCTGATGTCCCCACCTTCAGTTGGCATCCCCTTAAAATTAAATTCAGTTGCCCCAAATCTGACAAGAATGTACTACCCCTTTAAAACATCTCCCTCCACTCCCCCCACCCCAGAGACTGCTGTTGCTAAGGCCGGGGAAAACTGACTTTTGAGTCACTCAGCAGAAGCCCTGCCAGAAGCCCAGCCCAAGTAAACAGCTTTTCCAGTCTCCGGCTCCCCTTGCTCCCTACTTGCTTTTCCTGGGTCACTGCTGCGCGCTTCAAAACAATCGCCCAGCTTAGTGCTGAGCAGAACCAGGCTCCCGGTGGCTTCTGTTCATGCTACCCGGATGAAGGCCACTGTTGTAGACTGTTTATAACCACATCTTCACAATACTGCTTGAGGAGAAAAAGAATCATGAGGATAAAAAAAGAACAGGCCCACATCAGGCCACCATACCCTCCTGGCTGCAGTCAACGGGCCAGCAGCAGCAGCTGGAGCTCGACCTTCTCTGTGCCAAGTGGCCTGCCCTCCCAGTGACAACCCATTTCTTCTTTAAATTATGGTAAAATACACAAAAAAACTTTATCACCTCAACCTTTAAGGCAAAGCTGCTTGAAAGAGGGAAGGGAGAGGGTCTTTCATAGCCTCCTGTGACAAGGTGGCAGGTGGAAACAGCCCAGGTTCTCGGGGGGAGGGGGAGGATCTGCTCCGTGAGGCCGGGACCATCACTTTGCCCAACTATTGGCCACTGTTGAGTGCCTCACACACGCTAGTTCTGATCCTCAGAGAAGCTAAGCAGTCTAGGCAGTGACGTGACTGCTACCAGGTTGAGCTGGTGAAGGATTCCAACCCTGGGCATACAGTGTTGCCCACAGCACACTCACTTGGGAACAGAGGAGGGCCTGGTCTTGGGGTTCAGCACATGGTGGCCAGCTAGAATGCTGGGGTGCAAAAATGGATGGTGACTGCTCCCACTTGTAAGCATGGAAGATGACCCAAAACCTCTGCCCGCTCAGGCCCCAGCCCGTGTGCTCTTCAACCACCTCAGCATCCTTCCCTCCCAGTTCTGGACCTCCGCGCCCACTTCTCCATCTCCATTTTTATTGAAATACAAAAAGTGCAAAGGTGAAGTACATGATTGGTGCCAAGGAAGTCAATGAGTGTGAACACTTGATTCACAGTACCAACCCTCCCCCAGGTACACAGGCCCGTGGGGCAGGGGGACAGAAGACCAACGACCCATGAGAATCCCCAGTAAAGAGGCTGGGAGCAACACCTGATATACAAAGGAGGGCAGAAAGGCCTGGCCAGGGCCACAGACAGGAACTGACAGGACAGCAGCCCCTTCAGGGCCCAGGAGTCCTGACAAGCCAGTGCCCTGGGGGGAGAGCCCAGTGAGGTGGACTCAGCCCAGGCTGGTCAGCAGGGGCTCCCCCCACTCCCTGCAGGCTCTGGCAAGGCAGTGGGGGCAGGGCCACTGTGCAGATACTTCTCTGCAGCCAGGGGACAAGGTCACTGGAAGTGGAGGTCCCCAGGATTCACCAGGAAGGAATATCATTCATTCTTGGGGGTGGGTTTTCTGAAAGACAAGGCCCTAGAGCTCCCTGGCCCCTGGGGAGGTGGTGGGAACATACTTGGCAGGGGCCGATGGCATTAGCGAAGTCTCTGCCAGCCCCTCCAGGAGTCCCCAGCTGGAGAAAGGGGCCACCACAGATCCAGAGGCACTGAATCAGGCCAGAGCTGGGACCAGTGTGACCACCACAGACATGTCCACAAGAGCCTGAAGCCCAGGAGCTGTCCAAGCGGGAGGGAGGCGAGGTCTAGGGGAACTGAAACTGCTTGTCACAGGTCAGAGCAGACACCTGTGGGGAGGGTTGCTGAGACTCACTGCTTCATCCAAGCTGCCAGTCCTAGCAGAACCGCAGGCTAGGACACCTGAGGCCAGGACCACTTGTAAAAGGCTGACCCAGGCCAAGTGGAAGAGTCAGAAATAGGAAGCAGACTCCAGCCTTGGCACTCCTTAGACATGGAAATCCCAAGGCTGAGCGGTGGAGGAGGACAGAAGTGGTGCTGGCATTGGGTGTTCACCCAGACAAGACATACCCTCAGCAGGGCCAGCCCAAGCCAGCTCAGCCTTTCCTTCCCCGGCAGTCAGGAGTGGGAGGCCCAGCCCCAGCTACCAGCCCAGCCGGCAGTGATTTTGGCATCTGCAGTTGCCAGGGAGAGGCAGGAGAGAGCGGAAGACCAGGTGCTGGGGCTGGTCCTCCTCCTGCCGAGTCAAGGCCAGCTCTGGAGAGCCCGCAGGAGCAGGGAACTACGAAGGCAGTGAGAAGTCTAAGGCGAGGGAATGTCTTGTAACAGCGAGGCCTCCAGGGCCAGAGGTGGGCTGACAGGAAGGGGAGGCGGAGCTGCACTGTTGGCTGGCTCCTGTTTTTATCTCCCAGGGGCCTCATGGCCCCTTCATGGCAGGAGCCCCGGGCTCCTGTTAGGCTGAAGCCAGGAGGGCATCCAAACTGGGGCTATCAGAAGGGGGCTGAGGGGCAGAGGCTGCACTCAGCGGCCCTGGGAGTCAGGGCTAGGGAACAACTCCCCTTGATGATCCAGGAGGAACTTGGTAAAGGTGTTGATGGGATTAATGGCCTTGAGGGTGATGGCGGCATCCTTGGCCCACAGCAGGTTAGGGCCGAAGACGACAGCCAGGTTGGTGTTGGTCATCTTATTCTGGTCACAGTGGGCAGAAATCTGTGGAGGAAATCGGGGTTGCATCAGGAAGCCCAGCAACCACTGGGGAGTAGCAAGTGTGGCAGCTCCTCCTCTGTCCCGCAGGTGAGCAGTGGAGGCTGAGGCCCAGGTCTCACCTGCACCAGGAAGGCAGTCAGGAAGCGAAGCACCTGGTAGTTCTCCTCGGGCAGCGTCCGGAGGACCTGCAGCGTCACCTCCACTCTCTGGCTCTCATCGATGTCTGTGACGAATGGGGCCCAGGTTACAGGGGCCCTGGGCCGCGCTGTTTGGGAAGCCCTGACCCGAGGCCAGCAGGGACACCCCAACCAGGCTTCTCTTGGAAGCCAGGCCAAACCCGCCTGCTCTGAGTCCAGCCCTGACCCAGCAGAAGCACAGAGCTGAGGAGGGAGGTGAGGGGCACTCACTGAGGAAGCCCACTACATGCGGGTAGAGGTCAAAGGTGAGCAGGGGTTCAGGAAGCTCCCGGAGGAAGGTCTTGAGGATGACCGCAGGCAGGTGCAACTCGTTGTACTGGTCGAAGTCCACAGGCATGCCTGGGGAGAGGGCGGGAGGAGGAGGGTGGAGAGGAGCCAGACCAGCCTGCAGGCCAGCAGCTCCCACTGCCCGGCTTCACCCTCAGCTCCGGTCTAAGCCCTCTCCTCCCAGGGAGCCCCCTCTTGCACTGGACTTCTTCCCCTCCTCTGTGACACAGGGATGCAGGTTCAAGCTTTCTGGATGGAGTGAGCCCCCCCAGTCATGCCACAGTCACTGCTTGACTCCAAATGAACCTGTGCCCAGGCCCCGGGAGCCTAACTGATGAGGCAGCAGGCCTGGGACACTTGGTTCACAGGGCAGAGGGTAGAGAAGCCCTAAGAGTCAAGCACGTGCCCCCAGTCCTGCTGTGACAAGCATGCGTGCACACACACATACACACACACACCACACCACCCCCACCCGTGGGTCTTAACCGGCCTTGGGGACTGGGCACAGCCCTGGCCCACTCACCCATGTTGTACTTCTGCTGCACCTCTTTTACAACTTGGGTGTTGGCAGACCTCCGGAAAATCCCCTCAGTGGTGAGAGCTGGGAAACAGTGGGGCTGGTGAGTCTTGGCGCTTTGGGCTACTGTGTCAACTCCCTAACCCAGTCTCTGTCTGGGGGTTCCAGTAATGGTCTCTGTGGGTGCTGGTACATGTGGGACCTCTCTCAGCTGCCCAGCGGGTTCCCGGGGAAGGGGGAAACCAGCTGAGGGGGCAGGAGGCCAGCGAGGGAGGCGGCTGACGGCGCTGCGGGGCCCTGCACGCACCGTGGGCCTGCAGGAAGGCGACGGTCTCCCGGAGCACGAGTGGAATGGGCTCCTGCTCTGGGTTCTTCTCCTGGAGGCTGTGGGAACAAGAGCAGTGAGCCAGGCCGCAGCCCTTCCCGACACCCAGCAGCCAGCCCCAGGTCTGCCTCCTTTCCATACTCACTGCTGCAATGAGACCCCAAACTGCTGGTTGGGAAGTGGGGGGCGTGGTGGCATGGGCTTGGGGGCTGTGGCGGGGCTCTTCTGTGTGGATTTCAGGAAGTCGTCATGCCTGAGGACAGAAGGAAGGTCAGGCCTTCTGGCTGTTCCGTAGTCACTGTTACTCCTGTTTGTCAGGACCTCACTGCTGTTTTACACACAGGCACGCTATTCCCTCCTCCTAGCAGCCCTGTTCTTACAGACAAGAAAGCAAGCACTTCAGCAAGGGGCGTTCATAGAGCTTTTAAGTGGCTGGAGTGAGATTTGAACTTGTTCTTCTCACCCATACGCCATCTCTCGTCATTGTATTGTCTTCCTCTGTTTACCCAGGGGTTCTCAGCCTTCCTGCCCCAACAAATGTGCACGTGTTCATGTATGTCCCTGGGCACACACCACCCCAGTCTCACTTGAGCACTTGGCGAGGGATCCCCAGTTGCTCCAGCTTCACATGCTCACTCAGCTCACTCAGGTAGTTCACGTAAAAGATCTTCTGCCCAAACTTGAAGCTGCCGATGGAGGCAAGGGCATGGGTTGGGGGTAGGCCTGCATTCCCCCCAGCAGCCTACCCAAGTCAAACAGAAGCCTTAGCCCCAACCTGGGCTGTCCCCAAGTTGCTTGGCCTCCCCAGGCACTGGCTTCAGAGTCGCAGGGGCGGCAAGCCTACACACCTGATGATGGGCTTAAAGAGGATGAGCAGGGTCTTGATGAACATAGTGGGGTGCACAATGTACAGGGCCTTGATATTCTTCTTATACCTGCAGAGGCAGAATGGAACTCAGGGGTGAGGGAGGTAGGGAAGCCCAGAGCCAGGTTCCGAATGTACCTTTTCTGATTTGACAACCCAGCAAGACTGGGTGGTGACAGTGCCTCTGGGGTCCCATTTTACAGATTAGGAAATGGAGGCTCAGAAGTTAGGTAACCTGACAGGTCACGGAGCGAGCAGCAGAGAAACCGGGAGTTCATCCCAGGCCATTCGACTTCAGATTCTTTTTGATTCCCCAGGCAGAGGCATCAGCCTCATGGAATGAGCTCCCACCCAAGCAGAAGAGCCCAGAACCTGGCAGAGCTGCTGGCTCCAGAGCCACCTGCCTCAGGCCCTGAAGCGCCCCACCCCAGGCCCAACCCACTTGCGGTCAAACTCCCGGTAGGCATCTCGGAGCCAGCTGAGGGAGGGCTTGTTGTCGCTGGTCAGGCCGTGGTGCAGGTAGAGCAGCGTGTAGTCGCTCTCCACATACTGGTCCAGGGTGTGCTTCAGGTACCTTCAGGGGGCAAGGTCAGCCTGTCAAGCCCACCCGTACACAAGTGTGGCCCATTAAGACAGACCCCAGAGCCCCTGGAATCTGCTTACTCCACAGCCCTTCCCCACTCTCCTCCCCTGGGCTGACTATTCAGCTTCATAATCAGTCTTATGCTGTAGAGGAGGTTTGGGGCTGTGGCTGGGCAGGGGAATAGCAGCATCAACAACTATCAATTCTGAGCACCGACTAGAAGTCAGCAGACCAGGACTCAGGACTCTCACTGGAGCCCTCACATTCCTGCAGTGAAAATGGGAATATTTCTGGGGCCTCCCCAGTGGCGCAGAGGGTTGAGCGCAGCACTGTGAAGCTGTCCTCAGCCTCTGTAGCGTGGGTTCGATTCCCGGCCAGCCACGGAGATTCCCACATGGTGCAGCAGACCTCTCCGGTCACACCCGCTGCTCCCCTCAGCAGTGTATTTCAGTCGGTCTGCCTGTTCTGCTCCCCACTTTGTCTCTGGTGAATCTTCTCACCCTTCCGCACCTCTGGCCTGTACCCCAGCTATTGTATAAATAAAAAATAAATCTTTTTTTTTAAAAAAAAAAGGAAATATTTCCCTCCCATATAGTCATCACTTATCAATATTGAGCTTTTAGCATCTGCCAAGCTCTTTGCATAACTATCTCTTGCTTTCCTCGTACAGGTGAGGCAATGAGGGCCAAGCGTTTATCCAAGGTCACACAGCTGGTGGTGGAGACTGAGTGAACTAAGTCCACAGCCTGTATTCTTGACCATGGGTCCACTCTGCCTTTTACACTTGAACTCCAGGCACAGACTGTAAAACATTGTGTCCGTGAGAGGGGACCAGGGTGGCCAGAGGGTCCTCTCCTCTTCTCCAATCACTGGGCTTTTTCTAAACTAAAGAGCCACACCTCAGGTTCCCCCTGCTTGCAACAACCTACCATCCCGACACACACACACAGGTGGTGAGAGCCCATGTGAAGTGAAGAAGTATGAAGGGCGTGAGCTGGGATTTCAGGAAGGGAGGGGAGTCCGGAAAACCCTCTTTACCTCTGGCCAACATCTCGCAGGCCCACCGGATTAGCACTCCAGGCTGGGAGGCGAGGCAGCAGGAATGCTAAGGGCTTCTAAGGGGAGGTAGGGCAGGAGCCTGGGGAAATGCCTAAGGATTTGACTAAGTACCCACATGCACACGGACCTAACCCAGAGAGGGCAACCTAGACACGTGGGTTGTAGGTGCTGGGCTGGGCATGTGGAGCCACTAATGCTGGGTTATGATGATGGTTCCAATTGTTACCACTGTGCAACTATTTATCACTTATACACATTGAGCATGTTACAATTTGCAAAGAGCTATCATATCAAAAGATGGTACTTTGCAACTACAAAACAGCAAAGCCTGTTGTGAAGATACTGTCATGGCCTTTTGGAGGGCAATAAAATGAGGCTTATCAGAAGCTTTAGAGGGTTCACAGTTCATGATCTTTGACCTTATAAAATCATATATTCAGCAATTTATCCTAAGGAAAGAATCAGAAGTGAGTAGACAATGTTTGTATTCTAGGCTGTTCAGTGTAGCTTGTTTTATAACGGAAAAAAAAAAATTGAGCAGCGAGCAAACTGTCCAACAACTGGGAGCTGGTTAAATAAATCAAAGGATGTCTATAAATAGACTACCTCACAGGATGTTTCTGCAGACAAAACTGATCTGTGAAGTTAGATGTCAGAACAGCGCCTACCCTTTGGGGTAGTGACTGGAAGAGCAAAGGGAAGTTGTGGGTGTAGGTGATATGGGTGTGATCAATTTTTGAAAATTCAAGTGGCAGACATTCGATCACATTTCTGTACACACAGTATATGTTAAGGTGTTTTTAAAGGATGTCCTTGAAGAGTGTTTAATGCTCAGAAGATAATAATGTTATATAAAGTTGAAAACTGGCCAGGGAGTTCTATATATGCTACAGAAAAAGAAGGGACGTGTGTAACTAAAATCTTAACAGCGCTTTTCTCTCTGGGTGGTGGATTTGCGGGAGTCTGTTTTTTATAGTTACCGATACTGTCACTTTCCTTGGAATTTACAATCCTCTACAAATGCACCTGGTGACATTTGATGTATGTTCTCATCCCTAATGCCCACAACAACCCTGTGAAATGGTCACAGTTTCTATTTTTTTAGGGTTCGGAAAAGACCTGTCTCCGAACACACCACTGGTAAGAGAGCTGAAGTTTTTGGGTCTTCTGAATCCAAGCTTCAGGCACTTTTAAAATCAAACCCCCGGATCAGGGTGCATCAGATGGGAAAAGCCAAGTCTGACATAACCTGACTGAAAACAAGAGGACAGGGCAGATCCAAAAGGAGATGACCCCTGCTCTGGACACGGGGAGGCCCTGTGGGGGAGGCAGAGCCTCCGGAAAGGGCTGGGGGACAGACAGGGCAGATGCAGCGGGCTCCCTGAAGCCTGAGGAAGTCCCAGAGTGTGGGTGCAGTCTCCTCCATAGGCTCTTTCCTAAAGACTGGGTGCCTTCCCATCCCCATCCCCTGAATTCCTCCCATTCAGACTATTATCTATGTGGTGTTTGTCACCTGCCTAGTCAGAGGGGAGGGCATGTGACTCAGGCACCCTCAGGCTGGCTCCTTGGACTATTCTGGGCTGGGCCACGTGATGGTCCTAGACAAGCCTCTGCCCGCCTAGCTGAGGAGTGGCAGGAAGAGGGTTCAGGAGGCCAAAGAGAAAGAACTCATACAAGGCAACAGACTCAGCCCTTGGGCCCTTCCCTACTGCTGCTCCCTTGGCCTGTCTCTGATCCCTCTCCCCCACAACCATTCAGGACCCTAAAAGGCTGATGTGGGCAGAGTGGACATTTTCAATTTCAGGGAGTGTGTTAAACAGGCCGGGGCATGATGGGAACTGTGCATGCTGAGAAGTGGGAAGAGGAAGCTGGTTACAGCTCGGCCTCTGTGGAGGTCCCATTTATGACTTGGGTCCAAGCCTGGCTCACTGAGGACCTCTTATCTCTCAAACTTCTGCTTTCAATCAGCCTTTGACCTGGCAGCAGGCAATTTCTAGATCAACCACAGCTATTAGGTATATTTGGCTGATGGAACCCAGATAGGTGTAGAAGTCACTGGCAGGCACCAAGTTTGTCAGAAAATAAGATTGCACTAATTACTCATGAAATGATTATCAGAAGCATCACAGCAGGTGCACCCTATCATTTTAATCATCACACTTAGACCATGTTTATTATACTTTTCCAAGCATTTTCTTAGTATCTCACCGTATTATTGTCACCCATGGGGACAAAAAAGAGGCTTACGATGAAGACACAAGACACCTGCCAAGGTCACACAGAAGTTGCAGGACTGAAAACCAGGTCTAACCCCAGCCCAGTAAGCTCCTCCAAATGTAAATAGTTCCCGCTGGGGAAGAGAGGAGACAGAGAGGGAGGTGGCCTGGTAGCCGTAGGCAGGAGGGGTGGTGAGGAAAACCATCAGGCTCTATCGGCTCTGGCACAGACCCCCCCCAGCTTCTCCATGGGCACTCACCCCAGGAGCTTGCTGTGGTCCAGCTGGTGGCTCGGGGGCATTCGGCAGGCACTGAACACAATGATCTTCCGTCCATACTTGTCATCTCCTGGGTGTGGAGAAAGATGGAGCACAGTGGGTAGAAGATGAGAGCAGAGAGTGGGCTGAGGAACTGATGGGTGCTAGGTCTGGAGGCTGCGCTGTCCAGTCCAGGGTCAGAGCAGCCTATGCAGCCAGACCTCAGGGCAGTCACATGCACTCAAGGGTACGTCCCTAAAGACAGAAGGACAGTTGTTCCCAGGGCTAACCAAGCTGGGGTATGAAAAATAACGTGAGCTTTAAAAAACCACCTTCGATGGAAACAGCCCAAATGCCCATCTCTGGAGGGATGGATAAAGAAAATGTGGAGGGCCTCCTGATGGCGCAAAAGGTTGAGCACAGCACTATGAAGCAATCCACAGCCTCTGCAGCATGAGTTCAATCCCCGGCTGGGCAGGGAGCAACCCACATGGTGAGGCAGACCTCTCCTGTCTTGCCCACTGCTCCCCTCAGCAGCGTATTTCAGTCAATCTGCCTGTTCTGTTCCCCGCTCTGTCTCTGGTGAATCCTCTCACCCCCCGCATCTCTGGCCTGCACCCCAGATCTTGTATGCATAAATAAATAAGTCTTCAAAAAAATTAAAATGGCCCATGCAGTGGGACCTTGTCAGTTACACAAAGGGATGAAGTACGCCACATGAGTGAATGTGAAAACATCATGGGAAGTGAAGGAAGTTGGCACAAAAGGCATATATAGTATGGTCCCATTTGCATGAGCTGTAGAAAACAGGCAAACTCATGAAGATGGTAAGCAAATGAGTGGTTGGTTGCCAGGTGCCGCTAGAGGCAGAATGGGGACTGAGGGCTTGTGGATATGGGATTTGGTGTGGGTATGGATGAAATTTTGGGACTAGAGAGAAGTAGTGATTTCACAACACTGTGAATGTACAAACACCCCTGAACTGTACACTTTTAAAAGGCTAATTTTATGTTTTGTAAATTTCACTTTGAGAAAAAAAAAGCCACACCCACCAAACCAGTTATCTTGGCCGTCATCTTGAAAGTCCGAGCTTACTCTAGAAGCACTCCTCCTGAGTGGCATATATTTGAAAAGTTTCTCAAAGCTTCTCAGCAAGTCTGAGGGCATTGAGGAAACCAGCCTGATTACTTAACAGTCACTCCTCATTTTTGACCACTGACGACATCTTCTGGTTTTATTATTAAAATTTCTGACCACATTTGGCTCTAAATGACTTATGAACATTTCTGAAAATTATATTCCTTCTCATTAGGGGTTTTCTAAAGAACATGGAGTTCAGAGGAGTTGGTAGTGCTTTGGGAAGATGCTCATCTGGGTGTAGGATCCTCGGGATGTTTGTGGAAAACTAGCTACTGTTTGATGGTCTCACCATGTGGCTTTGTCATGAGGCTGGGGAGCTCCTAAGACATAGGTGACTGCTCTCTCAACGGGAGATGTCCGCTGAGGGCCAGCATGGATCAGGGACCCCAAGCAAAGCTCAATGGGGACAAGGCTTGGTCTTTACTCCCATGGCCTAGGGACTTCCTTCATCTCCACCTTCACACCTCTCCAGAAACCAAACCACACACTTGCCAAATCCTCACTGCTTCAGAGGCAAATAAAAAGCCCACTGATACGACCCAGGAGATGTGGTGAGTCTGCCTCCATCCCCGCTGAGGACCGGGATGCCCCCATGCTGGCTGAGTGTCTCCTCCATATTTAACAGGCCCTGATTTTGATAATCCTTCTTGGTGGCTTCACCCAAGAAATTGCAATCTTCCAAAGAGATTGCAAAGGCTCTGGCCCTTTGTTCTTGGGCTGGGGAGGGGGCTTCTGGAGTGTGGGCAGGGAGGCCCAGTCACCGAGAGCAGCCTGGCCAGTGCTTTGACCTGACATAGCACCTTATTCCCAGCCATCTGATGTCCAGCTTCTTAATCAGCCCCTCCAACTCTCCCATCTCCACCCAAAACACTGCCCACCCTCTAATGGCCCTTGACAGGGCCTAGCCAGGACCCTCCAAGAATTTCCTCCAAGGTTTGAGGTCTGGCCCAACATCCCAGAAGGTTCTGTTTTCTTATCCTAAAGTACTCCAACTTCTAGCCCTGTTATAAACACCTGCCTGTCCTTCCTTGACTCCTCTCCCCCTCCTGCACTGCATCCCAGATATATTCTCAGGCCCCAATCCTGTTCCTTGAAATGGCTCCTGGGACTCTCCAGGCTGACTCTCCATGCACACCTCCAACAGAGGCACTTGCAGTGCTGTCTAGACCAGCGAGCCTCTGCTGGTTCTCATGCAATAGGGTTTTCTGTAGACAATTCTGCTCCCCACCTCTCTAGGATAACACCTCTGGTAAAATTGCCTTGCAGAAGCTGTGTCCTCTCCTTTCCCTAGACAGGTTACGAGTCCCCTTTCCATGGCCGCCAGCACACACCGCTAGCCATCTGCGTCATGACATGCGACTCTCCTGTGTAGCTGTTTCTGGGCCTGAGTCTGTCTCCTCTACTGGCTGAGAGCACCTCGAGGGCAGAGACTCGGTCTTCTCCATCTTCGACTCTCTGTGCTGGCCCAGAACCCAGCACCTGTCTTGTTATTTAACAAGTGTCGGCAACCTGCACAGGCCACAGGTCGGCACTGTGTGTGTGACATCTAGGTTATAAGACTACTTAAGACAGTGTTTCCCGGAGCCTTGCACAGCATTCCACCAGACTTCCAGGCGGAGGACCCTGTGCAAGGCTGTGTGAGGTGCAGCTCCATCCAGCAGTGGGTCTATTTTGAAGGAGCAGGTGCCACAAGCTTTTCTTCATACCCTAGCCTAGATTCTGATGTCCCAGGGTCCTCTCACGCCAGCTCAGTGTGGCTCTGGGGCCTGCTCTGATTCACCCATAGGCTCTGACCCCGTTGAGAAACACACACTGGCAGGGGACAGCGACAAAGGGTGAGACTGGCCAGTTCAGCTTCATGTATAATCTGGAGTTTCAGAAACCCCTGGGTTACTACCAGCAGCCTGTGAGGGGAGGGACATCATCTGCCTGTGCCCCTGGAGGAGGGGAAATACCCAGGATGCGGGGGAAGTGCCGGAGGAGCATGTGGGACTCCAAAAGGTTCTTTGCATCCCTGTCCCTCGACCTTCACCACCCTCGTTGTGGGTAGCTTAAGGACCTTGGCAGGGCAGAAATTCTAAGCTCATACAGCTCTGGTATTTACAGAACAGGGAACTGGCAGCTGGGGAGGGCCAGGGCCCGTGGCTCCAATTCTCAGCTGTGGCACCTGGTAAAGGCAAAACCTGGGCTTTCAACAAGGGCTCCCCATATGCATGAGAAATCATGGTACTGATGGTACATGAAAAATATTACAAACACACGCACATTTTTTCTAGGCTGAAAGGGCCACATTTCACACTCTCAGGGAGACTCGGACCGGGTCTGAGCACCACTTCACTGGCTGTAAGTTCCCTGAAGGAGAGTGTTTTCCCTCACTGAGTCCTCAATGCTGACTGCGGGCCTCGCTCCAGAACAGTGTTCTATACGTGCAAGTGGAAAGAAGCCAGGACAGGGCGGGGGCCAGCGAGAGTCTGTTGGCGAGATTCCCAGACAGGAGGAATGAGCCGTGGCAGGCCTATGGTTGAGGCACTGCCCTCCCCTCGCTGGAGTGGAGTCCCGAAGCCCAAGTCCTGGGGTGGTTCGGGCATTTGACAACAGGCAGATGAGTGCTGCTACAGAAGGCGCATGTACCAGAACGCCAACTCCCCTCCTGCTCTCCCTGGAGACTGCAGGAAGAGAGTAGCTGGCAGCCCCGAAGTCCCCAGAGCACGGGGAGAGGGCTCAGTGAGGAGGAGGGGGGAGCATCTGTGGAAAGCACCAGGAAAAGACCAGCCGCCTGAGAATGAAGCCTGTGCATTCCCCAGATACGGATCAGGAGCTCGGGAACTCTCCCAGGGGCCCGGGAGTTAATCAGCAACAGCAGGCATTCTGGGAAGCAGCCCCACCCACGACCTGCTGACCAAGGAGAAGGGGGGGACTGAGCCCCCATGCTCCAGTAGGCTCACACATTTGTTAAATTGTCAGAAATTCTGCAAGCCCGCTGACATCACGTCAGTAGCTTGAAATCTTCTGTGGAAGAAATCACGAATCTACAAATAAATGTCTTTGCTTTTCTTTCCAGAGGGCCAACTGTGAAATGTTTACCAGCCTAACACTAGGAAGAACCCACTTGGATTGGGTAGAACTTGGACCAAGGGGCAAGACAGCCGCCACAGCAAGGGAAACAGGGGCTGCAGAGGAGCTGGGGACATCTGCCCTTTCAACATGGGCTCTTTCTCTGGCCTCCCAGGCACCACGGTCTTACCAGCCTCGACTCTGGCGGTGCCAATTCAAACGCCTCTCACCAGCGAGGCACTGCCATGGGACCCAGAAATAGGCCTCACCTCAGGATAGAGGTGCCAACATGCAGGCCAGCCCACAGCTCCCTCTGCTCCCTAAGGATAAGGTCCCACCCTTACTTGGAGCTCCTTTTCCTTCGGGCTCTGGATGAATCTCCAGCCAATCGAATCTCCTACAAATCCTTGCTTCTTCTGGTTCCCAGGCACTGCAGTTCCCGACTCCCGGGAGTGGGGCTGCAATTAAGCTGGCCCCACCGGGCCTCCACCGAGAACCCTTCCTGATTCACAGCCCAGAGAGGCCAAGTGCAGAGAGCCAGGATGGACACACCTACCTGGCTGGGCCCCCTCAGGCTCATCACACCCTGGGGAAACAGAAACATGTTGCAGCTGAGAGGAGACCCATGGGGCCAGGAGCAGCCTTTCCTGCTTGGCCTTGTGATTTGGCCACATGGACCAGAAGGATATCACGATAGTTTCCTTCACATCAGACACCCCCACACCCCAATCAGGTCCATCTCTGGAGAGAGAAGAGAAGGTTCTGAACCTACAGGAGACTCTCCTGTGCCCAGGCCAGGGACAGACCAAGAAAGAACTCTAACCCTTGCTTCTGTAGGGTGAGAGAGGTCTAGCTAAGGTGCCAGGGACACAGATGCCATGGAAACCCCTTTTGTGTTCGAGCAACCCTCTCACCTGCCCCCCCATCTCTGAGATCACATTCAGGAGAGGTGGCTCTCCCCGTTGCTCTCCTGTTGCCAGATGCCTCCACGGTCACCTCTGCCGACACCACACAGGGCTCCAGGTCATATGCTACCTAGTTCCCCTTGCTCACCCCAGTGCGTCTGCGATGACCCTTGCTTACAGCTGCCTGGGCTCAGACAAACATTAGGGAAAGACCCAGGATCCTATCATTCCAGTTTCCTTTTCCTGCAGTAGGCGCCTAAGGGTAGAAACCAGGTTATCAACATCTTTGCTGCCTCCCCTGCTTCTGGAGTCTTCTGGGTCCTGCGCTGTGGATAGAAGGGTGGGAGCTTCCTGAGAGGGTGACCTGAAGTGGGAGGGAGTTTCTGCACCCCTTCTCAGCAGGGTAGCTCATCTGCCGGAAGGAGGCGTGCCATTCCAGACCTTCTTGGAGGTGGGGTTTCCCAGGAGGGACTGGCATCTCCCTGCTCCCAGGTTACTGATGGACTGGAAAAGGTGACATCAAGGCAAAGAGAAGGGAGGCAAATAACCACATATTCGGGGCCAGCTATGTTCCACCTCCGGGCTAAGCCCGACATATCAATCACTAGTGTAATACAATTAACCACCCAGCGAGGAGGAAATGAGTTGAGAGAGCAGAGCTGGAAATCAAACCCAGGGCTTGCTGACCTCAAAGCCACTAGGCCGGCCTCTTCCCACATAGCATCAGCCGGTGAAGACAATGAGTCGCATGTCAGAATGTGGCTGCAGCGGGACAGACCAAGTGGCCCTCACAATCAAGTCTGTCATTTTAAAGAAGGGTGCAAGTGCTCGGGAGCCCCAGGGTCGGGGTCAGACCACAGAGAGGGCGCCACCCGCTTCCAGTCCCGTCCCCTTCGGCCTGAGGGGCTGGCTTCCTTAAGCCAGGAGTGAAGAAAGTGAAGAAAAAGGTGAGGCCCTGGCCGTGCTCACCTGCCACCTCCACGATCTGGTGCCGGGCGATGTCATAGTAAGGGTCATCCCACTTGAGGTGCGTGATGGGTTCTGGCGAGCTGCTTTTGGAGTCATCTGAAGAATAGGGCAAAGTAGGGGGATAATCTGGGGGCCTTGGCCCTCAGTTCTCCCTGAGAATTGTGCTCTTGATCCTCCCCCCTTCTGCTCCCAGCCCCACCCCAGGGCTGGTCTGCTGGCCCTCATCCTCCCTTCTCGGTGTGCCCCTTCAGCAGGAAGGGGGTCTCCCACTTGAAGGTGCCTGGGGCTGCCTGAGGTCTGGCAGTGCCCACCTGACTTGGGAAAGTCGGGCATTTCGTCTGAGGGCCAGTTCTTCTCATCGATGGAGGCCAACTTCAGCTGGTTCAGGGCCTGGCTGGTGTCATCCAGAGTCAAATCGTCCTGCAGTTCTGAGAGCGGGTCCATTTTTCAAACTTGTCCCCCACAGCCTCACCCCACACAACCTGAAGAGAAACCTGGGAGATGGGTAGGGGTGGCAGGTCAGTGATACCTTTTTCCCCTCTAACTTCTTCAATAAGCCCTTCTGCTACCAGCCCCGCCTCACCCCTGTTCCTCAACAATTCTCATCTCTGCCAAGAGCTTCATGAAGCTCCGACTCTCCTGGCTCCACAGTTTTCTGGCAAGTTGCCAGGAATGGCAGCTGGGGCAGAGGATGGCACAGCTCAAGCCTGTCTTTAGGTCCCCCAGCTGGATAGGGAAGAGCTGTGCCAGGCCCCCAATGCCCACCACCCAGCTGGTTCAGCCATGCAGTCCCTGATGCAGAAGGTAGAGTGGTCACAGGGGTCTTCCCAGTGGTCACAGAGCACAGCAGCTCCCCAGGCCCCAGCAGTAACAGGGCAGAGAGGCTTCGAGAATCTAAGGAGCACGCGATGCTCCAATACCTGTTCTTGCAAAAGGTCAGCCATGGCCCCCCAGCTTATTCCATCTCTGATTCCTGGCCTGGGGAAGAGGAGGCATTAGGGACCACAGGGGCCCAGAAAAAAAGGCCGTGGCCAGGGAACCCGCTGGGTTTGCCACAGGATAGGAACCAGAAGCAGGGGATGGAATCTGCCTGCTAGTGACAGCGGAAAATCTGTAGGCTCCTCAGGCCTCCCGCCCACTCTAACCTGTGGGAGTTCCTGATGCTGATTACAAGGTGGGAAAGCAAACAGACTGCCCTAAAGATTGAGGGGCACACATGGGCGAGGGGAATTCCATGACATGCAGAGTGCTGAGAACCAGGAGGTGGGAAAGGGACCAGCAGCTACAGCAGGACGGGGAGGGGAGAAGACCCAGCTCTGAAACTGGTCTGCCCAGGTCTGAGGTCTGGCCTCAAGGATGTGGCCTTCTGAGCCTGGGGCAGCAGCTTCTGCCCTCAGCCCGACCGAAGCAGGGCCCTCTCCTATCACAAGCTATCTGGGTGAAGGTGGGGAGCTGCAATTCAATCTACTCAATCCAACTCCAGAGAAGAGGCTGCTCTAAGTCGGCTGCATTCCTAGGGCCCCAAAAATGACATATATGGTCAGAGAATTGGCAGGGCAGATAAGGAGTGCAGACGAGACCCAGAACTGGTGCGGAGAAGAGGGGAGAGCTGCCAGCTGGGATCCAGACCCTGAACACCTCAGAGCTCTGAGGCAATGTGACAACCTCCTGTACATGTCACAGCAGCAGTCTCTGGATGGTAAACTAGCGCTCCGTGCCTAGCAACAACCGCCCTGTTGCCAGAGCAACCACACTGATTCTGTGGCAAAGGCTGTCTCAAGCAACTGAGCCAAAGCCAAGCAGCCAAATACTCACAAAAAATCCCCTACCTTTTCCTCTCCTCTGGTCTCATCTGCTACCCTTATTCACCATCCCTGCTTACCACCAAAACTTAAATCCCTTCCCAAGAACACAGAAAAATGATCCTGTCCTATTTTGGAATACATTTCTCTCAGTGAGAGCTGCTGGGCTCCCACCCCTGCTCGCCCACCGGTCTTCAACCATCCCTCCAATGCAGGCAAACCTCTCTCCCTCTAGAGGGATCCACCCCAGATTTATTTACATGCTCCTCCCCCAATTCAACCAGGAGTCTAGGAGGGTTTCCCCAAAGAGGCCTCCAGCAGGGAACAGGCACATAATTCAGTTCGAAGGAATCATTTCCAGGCTGGAGCCTTCTCTCCCTGTCCCTTCTGTTCTGTCACTGCCCAGGCACCAAATGCTCCTTCAGCCCTGCCACAGCCATCTCAGAGAAGTCTTTCTGCACACACTGGAGAAAACTGGCACAGGGCAAGGTATTCAGACAACAGAATTACAGTCTTGCCAGAGCCAAGTGAGCAAGTCCTTTTTCTATCTCGACCTACATTTCCTCACTTATAGAGCCAAGGCTCCTCCCAGGAATGCACTTCTCCAGAAGTCAATAATATCTGTGCAGAGGGCCTCCCTGGTGGTGCAGGGGTTAAAGTCTCAGCGCCATTAAGCAAGCTATCACCAGCCACTTCGGCATGAGTTTGATCCCCAGCCAGGTAGCTGACCCACATGGCGCAGCAGACCTCTCCTATCTCGCCCGCTGCTGCCTTCAGCAGTGTATTTCAATCCACCTGTTCTGCTCGCCACTCTGTCCCTGGTGAATCCTCTCACCCCCTTCACCTCTGGCCTACACCCCAGTTCTTGTATGCATGAATACACATAAATCTTTAAAAAAAAATTTGTGCAGAAGTGAACAGGGTTAGAAGGAGCAACTAGAGCTGAAGGATATATGAGGGAGAGGATCACTGTCTAAAAGGGAGCACAACGTGAAATCCTCCCCTTTTCCAGTAGCAACTCTATTGTGTCAGTTCTTCCAGAACTGACCCCTCCTCCTGCTCTATTACCTCCTTTTAAAAGTGTAACTATCACAGTCATTTCCACCTTCCAGTCAGACTAGCTTCTCACCATCTTCCAATCCAACAGTGGTCACCTGCTATGAGTTCAGAAGCTTAGCTCCCATACAGTGGGAGGATAAGGGAAATTCTAATATAAAGGTGTGAAAATGAAGAATCCTGACTGCCTAAGACTCCAGGCACCTACAAACCTTGCTCTAGTCTCTGCAATATACTCTATTCAGAGATTCATCTTTCCCTTCTTGGTAGGTAAAATATCTACCTTTAAAAATCTTTTTAGGCAGAGGTCTTGACTTTGAGAAATCCTGAACCTCATTGAAATTCTGATGAAATTTATAAACTTTTCCCCAAAATGCGTGAAATCTTGCATGCAATTTTAGGGTTCACAGGATTCCTCTGGGAATCCCTGTTTAAGGACCTCTCATCTATTCAGCATATTGGTGTCAGTCATTTGTTGAATGAATGAATGATTTCATCTCCTGAGTGAAGAAGGGAACCAACATTTGTCAAGGGCCTATACAGCGACATTAGCTGAATACAAATTATGTCTTAACTTTATCACAGCACGAATGAAACATGCATTATGAAGTCCATTTTACAAATTTGAGGAGAGTGAGAGAAAATAAGCTAGTTGCTTACTACACAGCTGAGTCAAAATTTTAAACCACATCTAAGGTCAACCCTCAACACTTTTAAAATGACTGTCACTGTTGAGATATGCAAGGTTCAGAGAAGTGCTACAAACGGACAAAGTAAAGCCTCTCCTCTAATCTCTCCTGTAAAGAACTCAGAAAACAATTTGAAAGTATGTTTTTCTGGAGGTGGGATCCTAGGACGGAAATCCCACAACACTACTGCCAAACCTTCAACTGCAATCACATTTGCATAGACTTTCATGGTTTACAAAACCCGGATTAGATACAATTAATCCATTTCACAGACTAAGAAACAGAGATGAAACCGTGGCCTAATAAGTAGCAGGGTAGACCACTTCCACCCAATTTTTTGTCCTTAGCGCTACGCCAGATACTTCCCCTTTCCAAGGGTCTGCTCGACGACAGTGATATAACCTGGGTTCTGCTCCGGGGAAGGTAGGAGAAAGGCAGCGAAGGAGAACAGTCCTCTCGCTGCAGACCCGGAGTGGGGCAGTATCCCCACAGAGGGAAGACCAGGCTCCTCTGCGCCATCCCAAGCCAGCTCCCTTCCTCGGGTCTGCGCAGGTACTCCCCACCGGACCCCGTGCCTTCAGACGACCTGGCCAGTCCTTTCCCTGCCCGCCCCCCGAGCCCCCCAAGCCCGGGGAGACCCCTCGCCCAGCAGCTCACCAAGGTCCGGCACTGCTCCCTCTGCCACGCCTGTCAAAGCTCAGCTAACATCCGGCTCCCCGGAGGAACGGGAACCGCCCCCTCCCAGTTGCTTTACTCCACAACCACTTCCGCCACACCTCCAACCCACTTCCGGGACGCTGCCCCGTCCAAACAGGGCCTTTCCAGGAGCCCCGCCCAATTCTCCGCACGTGCCTGCCTCAGTACCCGGCTGGAGGAAGGCGAGCCGAAATGTCCGACTCCAAGTTCTACCGACGGAGGCGACTGGAACTATTAGTTCCGCTTTCCCGGCTATTCGGTTCCCTAACTGACCCCCGGAATCCTGGGTTCTTATTGTTCTCAGGTACAGTTTCGTCTCCCCAGTACTCACAAACTCCCGGTTCTGTCCCTTAATGAGGTCTGACTTGGAGGTTTCGTTCCTGAGGGGAAATTTGAAAGTTAATGATTGTTTCCGGGAGGAGCTGAGAAGGCGACGCTCACTTCCGGCGGGGGGAGGCCTGCTGACCCGGGATGGAGGAGGCGGAGGACCTGTTCTTGCAGGCAGCGAGACAGCAGTTGGGTGAGCGACCTGCGTGGTCTCGGATCCTTGGCTCTGGGTTATATAGCGCTGACGCTCCCTGGTCAGCTTACTCCTCTGACCCTTTTCCTTCTGAGCCCGGGGTCCTCCTCCCGATGCCCGCAGAATGTCTGGGGCTTCTTAAGAGCCCCTGAGCCCCCTCAGCCCTCTCAGGGACTCGGTTAGAGCCCTTGCGAATGCCTCCGACTCACGAGGCCTCGTCGGACCCAGTGTTTCCTCCTGTACCTTTCCCCACCCTCCGACCACTTGGACCGATCTTACTGTCTTTTTGTCTCCCTGCAGCCCCCGACCCGCTCCAGGGGCCGGACTCAGGATGGAGCCCTTCCGGAGAAGGCGGTGCACAGGACCGCAAAGATTTCCCCCCAGGGCCGACCCGAGCCATTCTCGCTCTAAAGAGCCTTCCCCGGGGCTTGGCTCTGGGTCCCTCCCTCGCGAAGAAACAGCGCTTGGGGGTCTGGTGTGTCGGGGAACCCTTGCAGCAAGGAATGCTCTGGGGGCCGCTGGAAGAGGAGGCTGCCTCGCAGCAGGAGGGCGAGGGAATGAGCAGACAGCAGGAGGAGGTATTGAGGCCTTTGTCTCTTCTGGAAGTTTGCAACATTCCGTGTATCTCTTCAATTTGTTAGAAAAAGCAGGGTCTTTCAAGTACTGGAAGATGACTTTCCCTTCTCTCTGTTCCCCTCACTTGCAGTCGTTAGGCATTGAGGTGCTAGAAGCTGGATTAGTATATTGTCAGGAGAAAAGAAACTTTTTGGAATTCAAAATCCATGGGCTCAAATCCCAGAGTGGTCACCTAATCAGTTAAAAGGTCCCATTTAACTCATGTGTTCAACAACAGTTTAACAACCATTGTAGTTTCTTTTATTTTAATCCTCCAGGATTGATTGGAGGAATAGGTAAAATAATGCAGTAAAGGATTTCTTTCCATAAGTACCAAAAATACTGTATGTCCTTCTTACTCCTTTCAGTACTCACGGGAAGGCAATAATGTATTTGATGTCATAATTTAACACACCCTTAGGAGGGAGAGAAGGGGACAGTCATTTGGTCTTAACTGAATTAAAAATCAAACAGTACAACCCTGTAGAGGCAGAACCAGACAAACTGTCTCATCTGTTTTCTGTTTTCCTCCATTTTTGCCCCCTGAAACATATGGGAGAAGGACTTGTATTGGTTTATTTCAGGACACGTCACTAGGCCCATGGGGAGACGTGCGTGCTTGTGAGCAGAGTTCGGGTTGGACCAGGTAAGTTACAGGAGAGTATGAAGTAGCGATGCTCCTTTGAGGCTTTCTGTTGTGGTTTGAGATGGAACCTGGAGCTGAGTGTGATCCCCACCCAGATCTTTTGCAGTAAGTGTTCCAAAGGCATGGGATCTTTTAGGACTCAGAGTGCCCACGAGCTGGGATTTTCAGAGTGGGGTGGGACAGTTGGAGTGGGTCTCCCGACTTAACTCTTTCTCTGCTTTGCAGTTTGGTGCAGCGGGGCAGGCTGGAGGAGGAGGGAAACGTGGCTCCTGTGCGAATCAGTGGAAGGCTCCACTTGCAGGTGTGCTGGGCCGTGCTGCCAGGCTTTGAACTACTTCTGCGGCCTGGGCCCCCTTCTGCACACCTGAGCCCCATCCAGCCCAAGCTAGAGAAGGAGGCAGCCATGGCTGTGGTGACTGAAGTGGAGTCAGCTATACAACAGGAAGTGGCCTCTCCTGGGGAGGACGCAGCAGAACCTTGCACAGGTGTGTGTCATAAATGCTGTATTCCCAAGTTAGCACCACAACAGCCTGTTGATAAGACAAAGCCAGTCTTTTTTTTTTTTTTTAAGTTTATTTATTTAAGATTTATTTTTATTTATTTATACAAGCACTGGTTACAGTCAGAAGCGCAAGAGGGTGAGAGAATTCACCAGAGCCAGAGTGGGGAGCAGAACAGGCAGAAGGACCGAAGTACACTGCTGAGGGTGGCAGCGAGCGGCAGGAGAGGTCTGCGCGCCATGTGGGACCCTCCTCCGGTGGCCGGGGAGCAGCCGGGGATCGAACCGGTGCTGCAGAGGCTGCGGGCAGCTTCGCAACCCTGCGCTCAACTGCTGCACCACCGGGGAGGCCCTTTTTTTTTTTTTTTTTTAAAGGAAGAGTTTAGTTTTACCTTCTCTGCATTTGTTTTTGATTTTTTTTAAAGGTTTATTTATTATGCATACAAGAGCTGGGGTACAGGCCAGAGGTGCAGGGCCGGTGGTGGTGGTGAGAGGATTCACCAGAGACAATGGGGAGTAGAATAGGCAGATTGACTGAAATACACTGGTGAGGGGAGTAGCGGGGAAGTGGGAGAGGTCTGCTGCAGCATGTGGGAAAATATAACAGGAGGAAAGATAATAAGAGAGAGGGCCTTTGAGTGGGCCACAAAGGGCACCTGGAGGCCAGGGAGTGCGTCTGGGTAGAGGGAAAGGCTCGTGCTGGTAGCCAGAGGGTGAGGGTCATGTATCCATGAGGTGGCATTAGTGGAAGAGGTCCACACATACCATGTGGAGGCACAGGCCCTGGGTGACCCATGAGCGATCCAAACAGGGGGCCCTCAGGGACCATGCCCATTGGAGGAGGTCTAAGATGAGGCATTCCAGGTAGTGGTTGGGATGGTGGCTATCCCTCAGAGCTTGGGGCCCGGCAAGGGTGTCCTAAGCCATGAGCACCATTATGGGCCAGCTGCATCTGGGACACTCCTGGATGGGGCATTTCCCCCAGTGGGAATGGGCAAGGAATGAAGGTCCATGTCCGGGGTGTCCAGTCCCTGGTAGGGGTCCATGTTTTCCAGCCCGAGGAGGTATAGGTAGTAGGGGCATGGCTGGGGGTATCCCTGCTATAAGGGCTCTAGGAGGCAGCACTGGGAGTGGGAAGTTGCCAGGAAGACGCATGCCTGCTAGAGGAAGCGCAGATCCTAGTAATGGCACCACAGGATTGGGAGCAAAGGGTGGAGGAAGAGCTTCTGGAAACAGCTGATGACGGCAATCAGAGAGTGGGTTCTGTGCTGCCAGAAGTTGCTCGACTGCTGAGCCATGGCACTCACCCTAGGAGTCCTTGAAGCCACAGGACACAGTGGTAGGGCGGGTACAGAGATACTGCCCATGCATGGCCTCAATTGCTGCATCTGAAGCAGCAAATGAAACAGTTAATAAAGGCATAACCTTTGGAGTTGCCTGTGTCAGGGTCCCCTCATAATCTTTGGGGTTTGTAAGGCGATCCTAGAAGCACTGAAGTTATCATAAAGTAGGTTCTCATCAATCTGGGTCCAGTTTCTGGATGAAAATGTTGGCCCCACATTCAGGGGGGGATCCTGGATTTGTTTTGCATGCTGGTTCGTTTCCGAGATTGGCCCAGCAGCAATGGTAAAAGAGCTCCCACCATCTGCAAGCAGTGATCCTGCCCCCTGACCTCACTCACCAGTTACACTTCCTCGAGAAGATATTAGTGAATGTTACTGTCTTAATAGCTTTTCTGAGTGGGAGGGGCAAATATTGACCATTTGAAGTCTGGTGTAGGATGGATCTTCAGTGTGGGGTGGGGGTGGGGCTTGGTTAGGCTTGACTAAAGATCATGATGTCTAATAGTTTAGGGTGGGTGGACATAGCAAGGGTAGAATTTTCAGGCAGGAGAGTTTTGGCCCTTTGTTCTTTCCTGTTGAGGGTTATTTGAAACTTGCAACTGTTGAAATGTTATTTGAACAGGTACTTCCTAGGAGAGAGATCTGTAACTGTTACCTTCCTAGTGTGTTTCTTAGAGTAGTGAGGTTGTGTTGATGAAGAGAATGAACTGTGCACTAGGTTTCCGGCCTCGTGTGTCCTCTCCCCAGTGTGGGAATGGGGCTTCCTTTATCGTACAGATGAGCTAAGGTGAGAAGGTGGTGGTGTCAGGTCGTCTTCCGTGCCTGTCTCCAGAGAGAAAACAAGAGAACTCCAGGGCAGCCCTGCTTTAGGGATCAACGAGATGTCTGGGGCATTTGGTTCCCGGGAGCGCTTCCCCAGGAGGAGAAACAGATGGTGGGGCTCAGGCTCCAGGGAAGAGATCATGTCACTGCTGTGCTGAATCCGGGGCCTGAGGAGAAGATGCCTTCCTGTAATGTCCTGCTGACACTGCTGTCACCACCTGCTACAAGCGCTGCTTACCCATGTCCTGCGCTTGCTTTGCAGATCCTGGTCACCAGCCTACCCCCAGCACCCAGGTAAAGAGCACAGCCAGCCCTGAACGTAACACCCAAACCTGGGACCTGCTTTCCAAGGAGAGCCACCCCCTCGGTCCATTGCCTCAGGATGACAGCACAGACGAGGAGGACCGACCCGAGACACAGATGCCGCCTGACCCTCCGAGCAGCTTGGCTACCTCAGAGCAGCAGGGCCCAGAGTGCCCTGAGGCCAGTTCCTCCTCTTCTGCCCAACCACCTTATCTGACTAAGAGTCTGTGTAGCTCTGATGAGCAGGGCCCCCCCTCAGAGCCCGAGGCCCTGCAGGCTGGAGAACACCAGCACCCCGGCTTCCCTGCATGCTTGCAGAACTCTCCAGGCCTGACGGAAAGCTCCCCAAAACAGGGGCGCCGGTACCGATGTGGGGAATGTGGCAAAGCGTTCCTGCAGCTGTGCCACCTGAAGAAGCATGCCTTCGTGCACACGGGCCACAAACCCTTCCTTTGCACTGAGTGTGGCAAGAGCTATAGCTCAGAGGAGAGCTTCAAAGCCCACATGCTGGGCCACCGTGGGGTGCGGCCCTTCCCCTGCCCTCAGTGTGACAAGGCCTATGGCACCCGGCGGGACCTCAGAGAGCACCAGGTGGTTCATTCAGGTGCCCGGCCCTTTGCTTGTGACCAGTGTGGCAAGGCCTTTGCCCGCCGGCCTTCCCTGCGGCTGCATCGAAAGACCCACCAGGTGCCAGCTGCCCCCGCCTTGTGCCCATGCCCTGTGTGTGGACGTCCCCTAGCCAACCAGGGCTCCCTGCGGAACCACATGCGGCTCCACACGGGGGAGAAGCCCTTCCTATGCCCACACTGTGGCCGGGCATTCCGCCAGCGGGGCAATCTGCGTGGGCATTTGCGGCTGCACACAGGGGAGCGTCCCTACCGCTGCCCGCACTGTGCTGATGCCTTCCCCCAGCTGCCTGAACTGCGGCGCCACCTCATCTCCCACACCGGGGAGGCCCACTTGTGCCCGGTGTGTGGGAAGGCCCTCCGAGACCCACATACCCTGCGTGCTCACGAGCGCCTGCACTCGGGGGAGAGGCCCTTCCCGTGCCCCCAGTGTGACCGCGCTTACACGCTGGCTACCAAGCTGAGGCGCCACCTCAAATCCCACCTGGCAGACAAGCCTTATCGCTGCCCTACCTGTGGCATGGGCTACAGCCTCCCCCAAAGCCTCAAGCGACACCAGCTCAGTCACCAACCCGGGCTGCTGTCCAGCCCGTCCCATGTGCCGCCTGTGGCTTCTGAGCCTACCGTGGTGCTACTGCAGACCGAGCCAGAGCTGCTGGACACAGGCAGTGAGCAGGATGGCTCCCCGGTGCAGGACGTCTTTGCAGTCGCCATCTCAGAGAGTCAGGAGAAATGCTTTGTGGTGCCAGAGGAGCCAGGCCCCTCCCACAGCTTGGTGCTCATCCAGAAGGACGTGGGCTTCAGCACCTGGGCAGAAGTGGTGGAGGTGGAGACGGGCCCCTGACACCCTCTGTATAAACACTAGTGTTTTCCAGCTCCTGCCTGGTTGCCTCTTTTTTCTGTCTGCGTTGCCTAGTAGAGTCAGGAGTCTCTTAAGAGGAGCAGGTAAAGGACTCCCTTCCTGCTTAGGGAGCACCACAGTGTTTCCAAAGATACTAAGGGTCAACCTTCTCTAGATTGGAAAATAAGCCAGAGGTACTGGGTCGGGGAGGAGTGTGGGGGGAGTGTAACAGGATTCACCAGAGTCAGTGGGGAGCAGAACAGGCGGATCCACGGAAATACACTGCTAAGGGGACAGTGGGTGAGTCGGGGGAGGTCTGTTGCACCATGTGGGTAGCTCCCTGGCAGAATCCTTCCTCAGGCCTTCACAGTGATAGCAGATCTGGGACTACTTAACCCTTAAGCCACCAGGGAGGCCCAGATTTGAGATCTTTTTATTGATTTCCAGGAGAGCTTGATCTGTCTCCTTCCTTAGACGCTCCCCCAGGTGCCTGTTCATACAGAGTGGGGGTGACCCTTCACGTGGGAGGAAGAGGGTCACTGGCTACAGCCCTGCACCTGCTTAGTGTGAGGCTGGCCACTGCCGGCAGTTTCCCTGAGCCACAAGCTCCTCTCCCTACAACCAAAATGAGTGACTTGAGTGTTAAAAAGCCAGACGCTGAGCTCAGCTCACAGCTCCTTTATCTCTGATTCAGGCTGTAGGTTATTTTGGCAGCTTTTCTCACCACCTGAGAGCTGCAAAGTTGATTTTCATTCTGCGCTAAAGGACACCAGCCCATCCGTGTGCTGGGCCCAAAGGCTGCTGAGGGGAGGGGGGAGAAATTCACCTGTGTTTTGCACTCCCAGCTGGCTGGGACTGCGGAAGTGCTGGGGATGCAGCTGGGACCAAAACAGTCAGAGGCGATGCCCCCCACTGAGTTCACAGTCTCTGGGAGAGACTGCACCAGATGAGTGTTTGGAGAAGAGGCCTGGGTGCCCGGGACGTGACTAATGGGCTCATGTAACTTGGCCTGAGCCATCAGGAAGCCACCCACGAGGAATAATCATAATAAACACTTGGCTCTTACTGTAGGCCTGTCCATGTGACTATATAATCCTCACAGCAACCCTGTTGGGTGGGGAGCATTAGTCTTACTTTACAAACGAGGAGACTGAGCACAAAACTTTATCCTGCCAAGGTGACTAAGCTACTGAGTGGCAGAGCTGAGCTGCAGACCCATGTAGCCTCAACACTCCACTGTCCCTTGTTTCTACCTGACTTGATGGATGAAGCAGTCGAGGAAGGGGTGTGGGGAGCCCTGTGTCGAGAACCTGGTGGGCATCAGCACGTTTGCCGACAATGAGAGGAGAGGTTCAGGGGTACACGGCACAGACCTGCCTTCAAGAGTTGGGCTGTATTCTCAGGACATTGAGGAGCACTGAAGGGCCTTGAGCAGGGGAGTGACCCCATCAGACTGAAGTCTGAGGAGCCCAGCGGCCAGTGCATTGGCACACGAGGTGCAGCTTTGGGTTAATCAGTTAATTAGGAGGTGGTAGCAGCAGAAGTGTGGAGAAATTTCATCCAACAAATATTCCTCCAGCACTTCCTGATGGATAGTTAGGGAGGCAGTAGTCACGGATCTGCTCTGTGCTGTTACATCATGTGGGAGGGTAGACAATACTCCTGGTTTCTGATTTAGCCAGCTAGGTAATGGGGGTGGGAGGGGAGCAATGATTTTGGTTTGGGCTGAACTGAAGTGGCTCTGGGTGAAATGCCAAGTCAGCTGCTGGAAATAGGCATTACTCGTGAGAAGCTGTGTGGTAGGGGAGGAGGCCCTGCAGAGTCACTGAGAGGAAGAAGGCTCAGGGAGACTCAGCATCCATTAAAATAGAAAATCTGCAGGAGCCAATGAGAGTGTTTCAACAAGGAGGAACTGGGCCACAGTGTCCATTGCTGTTGAGAGGGTGTGTGTGGAAGTCACTGGCGAGCTGACTTCTACTAGTTGGAAACCAGATGGGATGAGTTTGAGGAGTGGGTGGAAGAACGTACATTCTGTTTCTAACCTTCATCTGTTCTGCAAAATAGGTGCCGTGGTCCCTGCTTCAGAGAAGAGGCAACTAAGGGTGGGAGCAGATAAGTAACTGGCCGAGACCATGCAGTGGGCAAAGCCAGGATTGAAATGTGTCATTTTCTGGCATCCAGCACCGGGGCATGATGCCATGAGCAGCCCCATGTCTCCCGCTTTACCACTGGCACGAGCCAGATGCCCGCCCTAGCTGAATAACAGCAAAGGCGGCATTCTGAAAATGTCCAAGTTGAGGGGGAACAGCAGGAAACTGGTCCTCAGTGGCGAGAAAGCCACACCACAAAAAAAACTTGAAAAACCACCACTGTCATTATTTTGGAGCCAGCCAGCCCTGTTTTGGAACCTGCATAAGGCCTGGAAGGTTCTTTTCTAGCTCCTATTTTAGGCAGGGTCATTTCAACTCAGGTGACCTCTTGGCGATGTCTACCCAGTGTTAGGTGCCCAGGGGAATTACTCATTGCTTGATATAGAACTGTGCAGGGAAGTAGGGATGCTTTGGGTTGCTGGGGAGACCTATGGACATCCCACAACCATCCTCCGGCCCAAACCTGACGCGCTCCCACCCACTTGCTCCTCTGCCACGTAGCTGGAGAACTTTTCTCCCCATCAGGCTGTCAGTGCAGGTCAGAATCAAGCCAGAATATTCAAAGGCACTAGTGGAGCTTCTGCCTGACAGCGCTGCCGGCTGACATGGCAATGGACGTGGGCAGCGTTGTCCAAGCTTCTGGGATAACACGATTGAAAATGATGTGAGAACCAGGACTGAGACCAGCTCTTCGGATGCTTAGCTCAGTGCTCTTGCAGCTAAAATAAAATGCAGCAACTTACTGGAAAGTCTGGTGGGACTTGAGGTGGCGGCAGGACCCATCCCTCCACGCTGACAGGGTACGTGTGATTGTTCTCATGTGAGTCTAATGACTCTAGATGTTGGGGGGCAGGAAGGGTTACATGTCACACCAATCTTTGTTCTACCAAGATCAACAGATCTTTGTATGGATCACGAGTACAGGTTAATGCTCATGAAAGAAACACCGGGGAAGCTGGCCACCTTCCCAGGAAGGGCAACTCTTGGCCACAGGTCCAAGATGGAGCCTTACACCTTTTGTCTGATCTACGGTTTGCAAATACTGTTGCCCATTCAGTAGGTTGTCTTATTTTTTTAATAATGTTTTCTTTTGTTGTACAGAAGCTTTTTAGTTTGTTTTGGTCCCTTTTGTTTATTTCTGCTTTTATTTCCCTTGCTGTTAGAGACAAAGCCACAAAGCCATTCTCTAAGGTCCATGTCAAAGAGCTTATCATCTATGTTTTCTTCTATATGTTTATAGTTTCAGGGTTTTTATTCAAGTCTTTTTTAATTTTCATTTTTTTGCGTGGAAAAACTGGGGTGTAGGCCAGAGGTATGAGGGATAAGAGGACTCACCAGAGACAGAGTGGGGAGCAGAACCGGCAGACTGACTGAAATACACTGCTGAGGGGAGCAGGGGGTGAGGCAGGAGAGGTCTGCTGTGCCATGTGGGTCAGCTCCCTGAGCGGGGATGGAACTGTTGAATGCCCCTCATTCCTGTGGCAGCATTCCGACCAGCGCGCCTGTTAGGAAGGGCCCTTCATGGGGGACGTTAGGTTTCGGTTGTATCACGTTCATGTAACAGTACGGCGGATCACGTGCTTATGTGGCAGGTATCGTGATACCTTAAAAACATTTTATGGGGGGGGGCTAGTTTAGGCTTTATTTCATAGCACTAAACTTAGAACCCTAAATTAAGTTAGACCTCGAAGGAGACAAGGGATAAATAGAATCCAAAGAATGGCAGCAAGAGAGAACACAGATGTGTTCTGAGATGCTTCCTCACAGGCACAAAAGGTGAGGATAAGAGAAAAAACAAAATCAAATTTGTCAGAATGGCCTAGAGTCTTCCTGCTGGCCTTGCCATTGCTCGCTTCCCTCCTGTCACCGCTCATGCCTACCACCAGCCATCGGTCTCAGCCATGCACATGACAAATTAGGAGCCCTTTGGTTGGGTCCAGCATTTTCCTTGTCCATGTGGGCTCCCATATTCTTCAAAATGAAGCGCTCATTGGCAAAGGTCTCCCCTAGAAAGACTTGCTGCCATTAATATTCTGGTGTGTGTTTGTCACCCTCACACAGGAATCCAGGAAAGCAGACTTATAACCAAACCTCACCTTCCCAGTGTTCAGAAAACTGAGTTTCTGCTTTGGAACATGTCTGCACACAGCTTAAAGACACGGGCTCAGGCCTTGCCTGTTAACGGCCTTGTCCAGCAAGCCAGGGATGCAGCAAGTTCCCAACACTGATTAAGGGTCTCCAAAGAGGCCAGTAGGATCTTAGGTAAGTTTTTCAAAATCTTGTGAGGTGAATATAGTCATTATTCTGATTCCACAGAAGGCAAACCCAAGGACTGACCTCCCATTCCAGTGCTGAAATTCAATTTAAAAACATATGGAGGAGGGCCTCCCTGGTGGCGCAAGGGTTAAGATGTAGCACTATGAAGCTATCCGCAGCCACTGCAGCATGAGTTCGATCCCTGGCCAGGGAGCTACCCACATGGTACAGCAGACCTCTCCTGACTCACCTGCTGCTCCCTTCAGCAGTGTATTTCAGTAGATTCATCTGTTCTGCTCCCCACTCTGTCTCTGGTGAATCCTCTCACCCCCCACACCTCTGGCCTGCACTCCAGCTCTTATATGCATAAATAAATAAATCTTAAAAAAAATAAAACATAGAAAGAAAATAGAAATATATATAATACATGTATAAAATAAATACAAATACAAGCATAGGAATGGGGCTCAGGACTGAAGCCGCTCCATGGGGTGCTGGTGCCAGGGCTCCGTCCGCCCTCTTCCGCTCCCATGCACAGGCCCTCCTGTGATGTTCCATGACAGCAGTCCAGACCTCGAAGGATGGCCAGACAAGACCCTGTGCTCACTGTGTTCCTGCTCTTTGTCCCTCTGTTCTAATGAGTCCCAGGACTAATATTTACCTTGCACACTGCAAATAGGAAACGGGGGAGGGGCAGGAGCAGGGCTGGGCGAGGGGTGTGAGGGACCAGTGGCCACTCTAGGCCTGGCCCAGGGCAGGCAGATGGAGGAGCATGAGGGCCTAGCCCTGGAGACCCGGGGATTTGGGGAGGCCCCTATTCCCAGTCCAGCAGAAGGACCTAGGAGAAAAGGTAGAACAAATGCCCAAGAGGCCTGGTCCTGGCTCCTCCTCCCAGGCAGCTGCTACACAAACACACCTCCAAGCTCCCAGAGGAGGGGGGGGGGCGGGGGCTGAGAGGCTGTCATGTTGGCCACACCCTCACCTCTGTTACCAGCTCTGTGTATTGGGCTCACACCTACCTCCGTTAGTTTACATCCACATAGCTACTGATTGTTAAGCATCTACTCTATTTCACTGGACTTTACAGTCAAACCTTTGTCTTCACTAGAAAGCTCTATTGCCATTGCACAGATGCGCAAAGGGAGGCAGACAGATCAAAGCAGCCCACCCTCCTCCACTTTGTGTTAGGACTGGAAGGCGCCTCAGGCAGAGCTCCTGGGCCCCACCAGCCCAGCTGGTCCAGGTCTCAGGGAAGGATGGGCTCGGGGAGGGGGCCAAACAGGCCTTTCCTTGGTGACTTTCTCCCTGTCCCTCCCTGTCCCAGGAGGACCTGTCCTCCCGGATGTTGGGGGTGGGCTATTTATCCACTTGTCCCTGATGGCCCTGACCCAATGACCTCTCCTTCTCAACTGATTTCTTCATGTTCATTAAATATTAACTTAGAGGCATCAGGACAAGCCCTCAGAGTTCCCAGAGCTGACACACTATGGCGCACGTCTGTGGCCTGTGGCTGTCCGGCTGCCTGGCCCTGGCCACCCTGTCTTGCCTTGTGCATGGCCAGCATGGTAAGGGGGGCTCGGAAGCTGGGACCGGCTGGTGGACTGTGCTAGGGCACCAGGGGCTGGGCTCTCACCAGAGACCATGGGCCTTATGTTGCCATTGAGGCTAGAAGCTGGGCGCACAGGGCTGGATGGACAATCACGGCTTCTCTTACACTGTGTGCAGTGGGCTGGAGGGGACCCATGAAAAGAGGGGAGCTTGTGGGTTACTGCTGGCAGCCTCTTGGGTCCTGCTGCCAGCCCAGCCAGTTCCTTTTGGAAGCCAGCCGGGCAGGCCAGCTTTGCTCCCTGCCCCCATGAAGGCCAAGACAGCCTGGCTCCCTGAGGCCACTGTCCCCTGCCCCTCCTACTGCAGTGTTCCTGGGCCCTCAGCAAGCCCTGTCGCTGCTCCAGCGGGCCCGGGTCCGACGCGCCAACAGCTTCCTGGAGGAGATACGCCAGGGCAACCTGGAGCGGGAGTGCCTGGAGGAGGTGTGCAGCAAGGAGGAGGCCTTCGAGGCCCTGGAGTCTTCCACCGCCACGGTGAGGCTCGGCTGCTTAGAGCGAGGCCAGGGCCTGGGAGTGGACCTAATTCTAGGGTCATCAGCGAGGCCCGGGGAACCTCACAGCTACTTATCTGTTGATACTTTCAACTCTGGGCCCATCTCACCCAGTGGCAGGACCAAGCCACCCCAGTGCCCGGGCTTCATCGAGGCCCCAGATTCAGGCGAGGCTCCAGGACACCAGGTGGCCTCCGCAGTCTTCAGACATCTGCTCTCTTGGCTCTCTGGCCACCTGGCCTCTCAGCTTCAGCTTTTTTGCTACTTCTGTTCTTCCCTGGGGGTGTGGGGCTCTGGTCTACCATCTTTCCCTTTCCTGGCGCTCTGCCTGGGTCCCACTGCCGGGGTCCCATGCCCCCTCTTCTCCAGGCGACCCCACCCAGGGGAATCCCTCTCCGTCTTGGGGCAAGGGAGGGAATTCCCCTCTCCTCAAATATTCTTCTCCTAAGTGGGCCTAGGCTTTTGGAAACAAAACTAGGAAACTGCCACAAACCTCCCCAGAACCTGTCCCCTGTGTGCCAGGTGAGGGGAAGAAGAAGGCATAAGACTTGAAGTGCTCTGGAAAACAAAACAAAACGGCGCCCAGTCCCAGTCTCACGCTCCGCCCTTGTTTTTCAGGATGTGTTCTGGGGCAAGTACACAGGTGAGCGCGGGGAGGGGTTTGCTCCAGGAAGGCAGCCCTGGGGACCCCAGGTAGAGAATGACCCACGCCAGAGACTCTTCTGGCCTGTCCAGTTATCCACCCCAGCCTCCTCCCTCCCTCCCTCTGTCTCCACCTGCTTCTCCACCTTTGTTCCTGCCCACCCTGTACCCCAGCCCATCCTCTGCTACTCCCCGCTGAAAGGTGTGTCTGCATCTTTTCCAGCTTGTGAGCCAGTGAGGAAACCTCGAGAAAAGCACGACAGATGTATGGAAGGTGAGGCGCTGATGTGGGGCTGCGGAGGGAGGCCGCGAGGGCAGCCTGGGAAAGGAGTCGAGTCGGGGAGGGCTGGGGGTGTGGTGCGGGGCTGGAGACCGCTGGCTTCTGTTCCTGCCGGCGCGTCTGCGTCTTCTGCCTGGCGCCTGGCCGTCAGCAAGATGATTCTTGTTGGAGGAACGAATGAATGAAGGGACGATGAATTCACGGGTAAGACCTCCTTCTCATCCAAGTCCCTGCTCCAGCCAGCTGGCCTTCCTCTGTCCCCAGGGCAGAGCTCTGATGATGTTGCACTCATTTTCCAAAACCACGAGGGGCTCCCCATTGCTCCTGGAATAAAGCACAGGCTTCTCCACAGCCCATGGAATAAACCTGGCAAACTTGCGAGCTGTGGCCTTGCCTTCCCCTCCCATTGCACTAACTGTGAAGCCAAACCCCCAGCTACTCTGACAGCAAGCTCCTCTCTGAACACACCTAGATGTTTCTTTTTCCTTCCTGGCCCTTGCTCACACTGCTGTATTCCCCTGGAGCAACCACCACTGTGTGCCACCACCTGCACTGAGCCTCCAAGGAGCCCCTCCCTATATCTTCTCCCTCTTCTAAGTGTCTGAATCCAACTTTAGTTTGAGAATGGGCACTCGACATGGAACTCTGATCACCAGCCACTCTTTTATTTGTCAAATAACTCATTCAACAGATATTTTACCAAACCCCTGCTGTATGCCAAGCAATGTGCTGAGTGAGTGCCAGGGATTTCGAGAAGGTCAAGGAGCTCACAATCTCATAAAAAATACAAAACAAAGTTATGGCTAGAAAGTTCTGTTTAAGGTGCCGCAAAAACACAGAAGCAGCATTTAGTTCATCCACAGAATCAGGGACCGCAGCCCCCCAAAGAGGTAGACCTGGATTTGTGGGATGTGCTGATGAACTAACAGGAGAGTATTTTAGGCAAAGGAAACAGCATGTGCAAAGGCCCTGAGGCATGAGGAATTAAGATAACAGGATAGGGAGACAAGATTAGAGGAATCTTGTTCACTTTTTCATCTTTCCAGCCAGGAGATTTACTTTGAGCGTGTGATGGTCTTGTTTTGCTCATGCCTCTCACCTGGTTGGCACTTAGTGATTATTTGGTGGCTGCTATTAAGTGGATCCCAGAACTAGAACTGCTGGGGCAGAGGAGAGGCTCAGTAAATGCATGTTAAGGGTGGTGGGCCAGAGGTAGCTTGGAGGGGAGTGGTGGGAAGACAGAGCTCTGCTGGAAATCCGAAGGGGACAAATTTTCAGGATAAAAGACCTGGGCTGGGGTCTCTGCAGGTAGCTGTGTGGAAGGTGTGGGTGCTAACTACCAAGGGAACGTGAGCTTCACCCGGTCAGGCATCGAGTGCCAACTGTGGAAGAGTCGCTACCCACACAAGCCTGAGTGAGTGTGGGCAGGCCCCTCTGCTGGCGGGTGGAGATGAGGGGGTAAGGAGACACTGGGGTGGGGGGCGGGGGATGGCCTCCTGTGGAGCACTTTCCTATTCCAGAGTCAACTCCACCACCCACCCTGGGGCGGACTTGCGGGAGAACTTCTGCCGTAACCCAGACAGCAGCCCCACCGGGCCCTGGTGTTACACCACAGACCCCACCGTGCGAAGGGAGGAGTGCAGCGTGCCTCTGTGTGGTGAGCAGGGGACCAGAGGTCCATGGCCAAAGCCAGGGGTCTTCACAGGGCCTAGCAGCCTGGGATGAGCAAGACCCTAGCCCTGTTCAAATAGGACGTGGTTATTCATGACACCTTCGGGCTTGTTTGCCAGTGAGCCCAGGTGACCAGAGGGAGCTGACTTCAAGTCTCCTCCTGTGATCTAGACTGTAGTCCTGGGAGCCATTGGGAACATTCCTGGAGATATACTTCCCTTTCTGTTCCAGGCATCCCTCCCTCCAGAAAGCCCAGTAGCCATTTTAGTCCATGAGACCTTTTCTGAGCACTTCGGAACCAGCGTCCCCCACATGATTCTGTGATTATTATTTCCCATGATGTGTCAGTTCAGGGCACATACCAACTAGCATTTATTTCTCATGTGTCTGAGGGTCGACTCGCGGAGGGGGGCTCAGCTGATCTCAGCTGCACCTGCACATGTGTCTGTGGGGTCCCCTAATGTAGGCTGGGCCTGGCTGGTGACTGTTTCAATTGATGGGCCCGGGAGAGCTTGGGGCCTTCTGTGGGTGGGGTCCACATGTGGAGGCTGAATGCACAACGGCAGCAGCATGACATGAGTGGAAACACACAGCGTGTTTTGAGGCCTTGTCTGCGAATAGGCAGCCAACTCTGCCCGCCACCCACTGAACATGATCAAGGCCAAAGCCAGCAGGTGCAGAAGCACATCTTTGTCTGCAAAGGATACAGATCCAGGCGGGGTAAAGAATCCGTGCCACCCCCAACCTACCACACATCAGGCTGGTTCTTTCTCCTTCACCCACCCTGCTGGTCCCTTGCTTCACCCTGGGACTTGTCTTAGAGCAAGTTACCAGTCCTCACAGCACCGGTTGGCATCTACCAGGCCCTCCCCCTCCACACTCAGGGCGGTGGCTATATTGCCGGGGTCTCCCCTGTCAGTGTAGACATCCTCAGCTACCATTCCTGCCACACCCGTAAAAAACAAAGCGTCCTCTTTAAATAGGCAGTCACTACCCGTAGTGCTGGAGGTGAAACCTGGTTACCATATCTGGCCTATAAGATTTATTTATTTATGCATACAAGAGCTGAGGTACAGGCCAGAGACGGGGGGGGGGTGGGGGGTGAGAGGATTCACCAGAGACAGAGTGGGGAGCAGAACAGGCAGACTGACTGAAGTACACTGCTGAGGGGAGCAGTGGGCGAGACAGGAGAGGTCTGCTGCGCCATGTGGGTTGCTCCCTGGCTATCCAGAGATGGAACTCATGATGCAGAGGCTGCGGATTGCTTCATAGTGTGATGCTTAACCCCTTGCACCACCAGAGAGGCCCTATAAGGTGTATATTTGGTTCAAATCTCTCAACAACCCTATAAGAAGAGCTTTAGTAAACACTACTCTTTCACGGGCAAAAGTAAACTGAAGTTGGGGAGCTTGTTAGGGGGTCAGATGGGAGAAAGGCAGCAAGGCAGTGCCTCAGCTCCCTCTGGATCCTCCTTGGGTGCCGCCCACTCTGCTTACCTGCCTCCTCACCCACCAGGCCAGGGGGGCGTAACTGTGGAGTTCACCCCACGCTCCAGAGACCCCACGGTGAAGGAGTCACCGCCATCGGAGCCATGCGTGCCTCAGCGAGGCCGGTACTACCAGGGCCGCCTGGCAGTGACCACACACGGGACGCCCTGCCTGCCCTGGGCCAGTGCGCAGGCCAAGACCCTGAGCAAGGACCAGGACTTCAGGCCAGATGTGCCGCTGGAGGAGAACTTCTGCCGCAACCCAGACGGGGACCAGGAGGGCGCATGGTGCTATGTGGCGGGGCAGCCTGGCGACTTCGAGTACTGTGATCTCAACTACTGCGGTGAGAGGGAAGGGCTGGGCAGGACCAAGCTTGGTGGGGAGAGCAGAGCCTTCTGCTGAGCGCTGGCTTAGCCTGTGTGCATGCGCGTGCGCTCATGCCACCCTGGCATTAAACAGCCAGGGCAGGTTTCCTTCCCATTTTACAGATGAGTAAACTGAGGCCGGGGAGGTTGCCTTTGCTAGTAATCCTTTACAAGAAATGGCCTTGTGCTCTTCACAAGGAATGTGCTTGTGCCCTTTACAAGAATTGGCCTCCAAGGCCCACAGGGGGCTGGGGGAGGTCTAGGGTGGGGAGTGGCTCAGCCCAGCTCCCGCCTGTGCTTGGCTCCCCGTAGAGGAGCCCTTGGAGGAGATGGAGGACATTCTGGCCCCGGAACCGGAAACGGCCATAGAGGGACGCACCGCCTTGGAGGAGTTTCAGCCCTTCTTCAATGAGAAGACCTTCGGCAGTGGGGAGGCAGGTGAGCACAGACAGGCATGCCAGGGCCGCCCTGGAGCGAGGGGTGGGGCGGGGAGGGGGCTGCATTGGGCTCATGTGCCACTTCCTCTGCAGACTGTGGGCTACGGCCTCTGTTTGAGAAGAAGTCAGTGGAGGACCAGACACAACAGGAGCTTCTCGACTCTTACATTGAAGGACGCATCGTGCATGGTTGGGATGCAGAGACTGGCATTGCGCCCTGGTGGGTGGGGGTGCGCGCTGCGCCCCTGGGCTCCCATATCACCTTGAATCCTCACATCACCTGTTGAGATTAGGGTTATCACTTCTCATGTGCAGATGGCGTCGCTGAAGCTCGGGCAGTTTAAGTGACTTGCCTAAATGACATGGCTAATGGGTTGCACCGCAGAACTAGAATCCAGTTCATCTGAGCCTAGAGTTGTGTTCAGCTGTGCAAACTCTGGATTGCAAGAAGCTGGGGGTGAGGGACAGAGGTGGGCTTGCGGGTGCAAAATGTAGGAACCAGCTTCTCCATGTCTTGACCCAAGGGTGGCCAGGTCAAACTGGGGCTGGGCCCAGGAGGCAGAGCTGTCTCATTTGTTGTTAGACCTGAGACTTTCTACTGCTGGATCAGATGGCGGGATGGTCTCCCAGCTCCTAATGCTTCCTGCTCCCCATCCCAGGCAGGTGATGCTTTTCCGGAAGAATCCCCAAGAGCTGCTGTGTGGGGCCAGCCTCATTAGTGACCGCTGGGTCCTCACGGCTGCCCACTGCCTCCTGTACCCTCCTTGGGACAAGAACTTCACTGTAGATGATCTTCTGGTGCGCATTGGCAAACACTCCCGCACCAGGTATAAAACCTTGGGTGTCTGGAAGGGGCCCAGCCCCCCAGGGTTACCAGGAGGGCCTCTGGTGGCTCCAGACACTTGGGATTCATCTGTACTTCTCCCACAGTAGAAAACACAGCATTTGATACTGGAAAGCCCAATTGGCCATGTCTTGACCCAGGTGTGCTCCTCGCTCCCTGCCCGGCTCCCCACCCAGGTGTAACCTCTGAGTGGAGGCTTTTTGCGCTAGGCTACAGCCTGTGCCCCTCCCCCATCTGCCTGAGGGGTTGATTCCAAAGCTCTGTGCAAGTTCAGCCCAGGAAGAAGATGCCAGAGGGCTGCCAAGGCAGGAGCCAGCTCTCTCCCCTCACTGGTGACCCACTGGTTATTTCACCCTAATTCCCAGACCCCAACAGCAGGTGGTTTCCTCCCTCAGGGACCTGGCTGCCTTGCACTGGGTGGGCCTACAGCTTCCCAGCTTCCCTGTTGGGGTCTGCACAGGTATGAGCGAGGCTTTGAAAAGATCTCCATGCTGGAGAGGCTCATCATCCACCCCCGGTACAACTGGAGGGAGAACCTGGACCGGGACATCGCTCTGCTGAAGCTCAAGAAGCCCATCACCTTCAGCGACTACATCCACCCTGTGTGCCTGCCGGACAAGGAGACAGCAAACAGGTGTGGGGGGAGGAGGCTGGGCAGGGTTCTCGGCTTGACTCTGACCCTGGAGAGCCTGGCCGAAGTTCTTACCCCATGCCAGGCCTTGGCTTCATGAAGTGCACCCCAAAGTTCTCTTTGCACTGGGGTTTTAGATTCACCTAAGGGAGACTCCCAGAGGGGTGGGTTCTTAACCAGGGCCTTCTTTCCCCAAAGATTGCTCCAGAGTGGATACAAAGGGAGGGTGACAGGCTGGGGCAACCTGAAGGAGACCTGGACAACGAACCCTGGGGAACTGCAGCCCAAAGTCCTGCAGGTGGTCAACCTGCCCATCGTGGACCGGCCGACCTGCAAGGCCTCCACCCGGATCCGCATCACGGACAACATGTTCTGTGCTGGCAAGTCCCCTGGTGCTGCTTGGCGGGGGTTGCGAGGGCAGCAGAGAAGCAGAGGGACTCTGGGTTGAGGGGATTGAGGCGAGTGAGTCCTGACTCCAGTCACTTGGAGGCCACTGTCTGTGGGCACCGTTTCTTCCCCTGAAAACGGAGCTGAAAGCCTCTCTTCCGACGTCATGTAGGGGTTAGATGGGCTCTTGCATAGGCAACATTAGGCCTGGTGTGAGGCACTGGTTAAGTTGTCAATATCCATGAGCTCAGGTGACCAAAAGAGACCAGGTGTAGGGAAGGCTCCTTGGTTCAGTCATCAAGCAGGAATTTTTAAAAAAAAATTTATGTATACAAGAACTGGGGTACAGGCCAGAGATGCAGAGGGGTGAGAGGATTCACCAGAGTCAGAGTGGGGAGCAGAACCGGCAGACTGACTGAAATACACTGCTGAGGGGAGCAGCGGGCGAGTCGGGAGAGGTCTGCTGCGCCATGTGGGTTGCTCCCTGGGTGGTGATCGAACTTGTACTGCAGTGGCTGCAGATAGTTTCATAGTGCTGAGGTGTGTTCTTAATCTTTTGTTTTGTTCTCCTATAGTATCGTTGTATGGACCTGTTTAGTTTCCATCTTTTCGTTTTGTACATTTGGGGTTATTTACAGGATTCCCAATTCAGTCACACTACTTCTTTTATCTATGTTGTCCCACTCTCATCTCCACAGTTTAGTATTAAATGTATGGCTAAATATATTAAATTGAAGTTTGGCAGTTCTAGTTCTGAAGATGTGGTTTTTCTCTGTGTATAGCTTTTTTGTTGTTCAGCGTTTCTGTATTTTGTGCAGTATATGTTAATTTGGATGAAGGCAGTGGCCATGATACTCAACTACCGATGAAGTCTAATGTATTTTTTAAAAGACAGTCTGCTTCTTGGATACAGAATGGATTGTTAGTGGAAAAAAGTAGAATTGGGGAAACTAGTTGTCAGGGAAGGAGTATATTGACGTGGCGGGGGATAGAAGTGGTTGGATTTGGGGTGCACGTTGACAGAGCTTATGTGATGTGTTGAAGGACTATGAGCGAGGAAATGAGAAGAGTCAGGGATGACTAGAAGGGTCAAGTGGACACTCACAGCTGGAGTGCGAGCTGTGCTCCTGAGTACTGCTGTTCTCTCTCAAGGTTATAAACCTGGCGAAGAGAAAAGAGGGGATTCTTGTGAAGGTGACAGTGGGGGACCCTTTGTCATGAAGGTAAGCTTCTCACAGGCCAGGAGCTGGTGGGTATGTCTGGGGTGAGGAGGGGCACGAGAAGGGAATTGTTTTCAGAAACTGCTGCCTGACAGGATTATACTGACATGACCTTGAACTTTGTCGGAAACCCCATGTTTCTTCCTCAGAGCCCCTTTAACAACCGCTGGTATCAAATGGGCATCGTCTCATGGGGTGAAGGCTGTGACAGGGATGGAAAATATGGCTTCTACACACATGTGTTCCGCCTGAAGAAGTGGATACAGAAGGTCATCGATCGGTTTGGAAGTTAGGGGGGCCTCCTCATGTTTTAGCCTCCTCACTGTAAAATCACAGAAACCAATGCAGTGAAATTATTATTTTTGTTTTATGCCTGAAACTAGAGTTCGCAATAAAAGTGACCCAATCACTGAGCCTCCATGCTCCCAGTGCTATTCATGGGCCACTCAGGAAGAGGTAGTTCTACTGGAGAAACAGGATTTAGGAAAATACACCACCCCTAGCACAGAGTAGGGAAGATGGCCAACGGCAGCCTGAATTTATGAATGTTGAAAATATTCCAGACTTGGGCTTTAACGGATGAGCTCACGTAATCCTTGAAAGAGGCAGGTGGATGAACTGGCCCTGGAGAGCTACCTTGCTCAAGGCCATATAGCTAAGAAGAGTCAAAGTAGAATTTGTAACAAGGGAGATTCTGAGGCCTGTGCCTTTCAGTGACTGTGCGGCCAGGGCGGTCAGGAGCTTTCCCAGGAGCAGACAAGTCAGGAGGGCAGCTAGAGAGTGAGTAATACCACGTTCTCTTTCCTCAAACTTACTTCATACCTTCCTGCGTCCTGCCTCATGTCCCTAAAGTGACATCAGATTTATGTCCCCCAAAGGCCTGGTATATTCAATGCCCTCATTTGAGAATATTGTGCGTATAGTGGTTAGGATGTGGGCCTGAGCATCAGACCACCTGGTTCATATTCTGGCTCCAACCATAAGAGAACTGTGGTCAAGTCACCTGCTCTCCCCAAATTGCTTTCCTTATGTAAGAGGGATACAATGATATGGCTTACCTAATCTGACTTTGAGGATTAAATTAGCAAAATGCGCCGTAACCAGGTAAACTCTCTGTGAATCACTGCTCTTTTTATTCTGCTTCCTGGCATGTCACCAGTTCTTCGCCACTTCCCAATTGTGGCTCCGGCAAGCAGCCTATCAGTGGGTTGTTGCTTCCTGGAATTTCTATGCATATAGCAGCTAGCAGACCTGAGCAATATGTTTTACTAAGAAATGAAACCTCGAACGCATGTAAGTGGATGTGGTGAGGCGTCTCATCGTGAGGCTGGAGGGGAAGAGTGAAGACCAAATGGCTGCCTCTTAGTACAGACAGGCCTTCCTGCCTGTGGAATTTATTCCAGAGGTGGCACCTCAGCTGTTAGGTCCTCTCAGACCATTGGTGCGGACTCGTGATTGTGCTAACAGGCAGGAAGTGCCTACGCTCTTCCATACTATCTATAGCAAATGACCCCACACCCACTCGTGGTGTGAGAGCCACGGTGACCCAGTGAGCCCCTGGAAGCCTAAGTGCTCCTTAGAGCCGTCATGATGCTCGGAGGGAAGTCATGACCAAAACCTCAAGGCGGGGCAGCGTGAGATTTCTTTGTTCCCTAGAAGCTGCACGTGGAGAACAGGGAAAGCCAGTTCCTCCTGTTCCAACGAGAGAAAGCAAGTCTGAGCCAAGAAAGGGAGCGCTTCTTACACAGCAGCAAGCCTGTCTCTACTGGCTCAATCCCCAGCTGGACCCGAGAACAGATGACAAAGTGCCGCCGAGCAGGCCCAGTTATGGAGCGTCTTAAGAGACAGTTATAGTTAATGCAAACTTTATTTATAAAAGACTCTTAAATTAGTTGTATCATGCCATGCATTCATACAGAATACAGTGACCCTCCAGGGCTACAGGAAGAAGAGCTCACAAACTCAAAGGAAAACTATTAAGAGTTTCTAATAGTTAAAAGCTAGGAAAGATTAAGACAACTTTACAAATGAACAATTAAAAAGAAAAAGGATATGGAGACTAGTCTGGGCTGAGAGGAGTGCAGCTGTTTACAAGTCTGTACACTACACTAATACACTGACAGTCTTCTAGAGCAGGATGCGGACGGAGAAGCGGAGTATGTACAAGTACTTGTGCCACAGCGACTCCTCCCCCAGATCCGCGGTATGATACATACAACCAGTTGTGTACACTAGGCCGCCCGGGCCGCTTTAAACTATGAGGACTTCTAGTTTAGTAAACTAAAGCTGCAGGGTGCTGGGGGGACAGGCAGCTTCATTTGCGACTGCTCTTTATTCTCTCCAGTCTTTTTTTCAAGTCATCAATGTTAGCTGTGGAGGAGGAAGAGGTGGTCATGGTTCCTGAAGAGTGAGTCTGGTTAGAATCCAGGTCTGAATGCTGGTGCTGCTCCCGCGACTCCCGGAGCTGGGAGAGCTTGCTGTGCAGCATGTCTGTGGAGGAGGCAACGGGAGGAACTGCTGGTTTGGAGAGTAAAGAGGTCAGTGGAGGTCTGTCGTCTTGCTGTTGAGAGAAGAAGAGACACCGTTGAAGCAGGTCAAGAGGCCATTCGGCCCCTGCCTGGCTTGTCTCGCCCTCCCTGAGCACACAGAAGGGAAGGAGCAGTCAGTACCTTTGTATTATCCAGACCACATCGCTGTCGGAGGATTTTTAGCCTTTCCAGGTAAACAGAGGGTCCCACCTCTTCTCCGTTTGTGTTCCCTATGGCGGACACTGTGCTTGTGGGAGGAGGTACACATGTTACCTCCATCTGAGGGGAGATGCCTAGACAGGACACAGAAAAAGAACAGTCAGATATATGTGCTCCAACACACTACTTCTAGACAGTCCTGATTCATCTGCCACTGTACCTGAGAACTAAAAAATCCCAAGAACCCATCTGGAGTTGATGCCAAAGGGTGCTCTAACTATACAGGGTAAGCTGAGTGTGGGCTTCAAGCACTGCTGCAGCAGAGCAGAAGGTGCACTGGGCTACCCACCCCCATGGCCATGGGCTGTGCCGGGGTTGTGTTCCAGCCATCCTGGCCTGGATATTCAAAAGCTTCCGTTGCACCTATAGCCACCCAGTTGAAGAACTGAAGGACTTAAATATCTTTGAGAGTGAGAGCAGGTTGGGATCAGGGAGGAACATGGAGCTCAAGGCTACATGAAGAAGTGCGGGAAAGAGGTGTCCAACCAACACCCAAGAACACTCCGGGAGCTGGAGTGTCTGCAGCCCTCCGTGCGAAGAACCGTGGGAGAGGGCCAAGGCAAAACCAAACCAAACAAATCCATCACAGTTTCAAAGTTTCTGAGAAAAAAACAATTAAAAAATCAAGTACTTAAAGTACCCAATTTGATATTAATGAAAATACAATACATAGACCAAAAAGATAAGCTATTGGAAAGAAAAACTCCCTTATGGTAAACAGAAAAGTAAAATGGCTACTCTACATAAAAATTCCATTTTTAATGTAAGAATGAGTACAACAGTCAGGATGGAAAAGGAATGATACAAAAGTCAGCAGTAAGAGATGCTCGGATATCCTGCGGCATGACGTCCGTCAATAACCAGGAGGGTCAGATGCTCGGGTTTCAAATGTACTGCTTAGGCCAAAAGATGACAATTAAATTGTGGACATCACCAAAAAGGCCTCTGGGACCAATAAAAGGAGACCCCCTGGTGTGTCCTGCACTTCAGGAAGGTGTTAAATGCAAACAAAAGAACTCAACTAAAGCTTCAGCCCAGCAAGGCACATTGTGAGAAAGAAAATGATTAGAATCTGACAGCCACAAAGGCAGTTTTACTGGAAAACAAATTCTAGGGCATGAGGGTGAGTGAGTGTCACTGAACTTGGAGCCAAATGCAGGAGAAGTGAGCATCCTGGTCTGCGCAGTGAGAGGCAACTTCTGTAGTTGAGTCTTTTTTTTGGGGGGGGTGGGGGTTTCAGGCACTGGACAGCTATTTTCTATAACTGGCACCTAAATCTTCCTTTTGTCTCTAGGTCCTGTGAGCAGTGAGTCTCAGACACTGGCTTTTTCACTGTGGGGACAGTAACATTTCAGCTTAATGTTAGGACATTTACTCATTCCTATCATTCAACAAATACCAACTGAGTGTCTATGAACTAGGCAACAAAAGAGACAAAAGCCTTTATCTGTGGGAATTTTAAATTCTAGTGGAGACAGGTATAGACAATTAACCTAATACATTCGAGGTTTTTATTACATGGTATGTTAGGGGTGGTGGGTACTAGGGTGCGGGGGGCAGTGGTTTGAGATGTAGGTTGTAAGTTTTAAAGGCAGGTCTCACTGAGACAGTGGTATCTGAACAACAATCTGAGGAAGGTAAATGGGGCTGGTCACAGGCTCTCTTGGGGAAGAGCAAACCACACAAGAAGCCACCAACGTGAAGGCCCTGAAAGGGCGCATGCCCAGTGTGTCCCAGAACAGCAAGGGGGCTGGTGGGGCTGGAGGTGATGAGATTCAGAGGTCTCAGGGTGTGGACGACCTCACAGACCTCTGCAAAGCCTTTTGTTTTCGCTGAGTCGAAGGAAGATCCTTTGGAAAATATTTGAGAAGTTTTACCATAGGTCAGAGTAGAAGTGGAGTGGTCAGACAGGAGGGCAGTGGCAAGGGAAGGAGTGTGGGTGGATTCTGCACTGAGTTAGCAGCTAGAGCCAAAAGGATTCTCTGACAGAGAGGAAAGACCAAAAACTCTGGGTAAGAGCAAACTGGGAGGATTTGTGCCATCCACTGAGATGGAGAAGAATGGAGAGATTATGGGGGAGTGTCAGGAGCTTCCTTTTTTGACATGTGGCATTTACAATGCCTACTGGAAACCCAAGTGGAAGTGTCATCCAGAATTTATTAGTTGCTGATCAGGAAGGAAGCCTGAGTTAGAGATAAAACAAAAGTGGGCCTTGCTGGCATGCAGATGGTATTTAAAGTGGTGAGAGTAGGGCCTCCCTGGTGGCACAAGGGGTTAAGACACAAGCTATGAAGCTATCCATAGCCACTGAAGCACAAGTTCGATCCCTGGCCAGGGAGCTACCCACATGGCGCAGCAGACCTCTCCTGACTCGCCTGCTGCTCCCCTCAGCAGTGTATTTCAGTTGCTCTGCCTGTTCTGTTCCCCACTCTGTCTCTAGTGGGTCCTCTCACCCCCCACATCTCTAGCCTGTGCCCCAATTCTTATATGCATAAATAAATAAATCTTTAAAGTGGTGAGAGTAGATAGACCAGTTAGAGGAATGAGGTGAGAAAGGAAAATCACAGACTGACCCCTAGGGGACCCTGGCATTAAAAGTTCAGGGGAAGGACTCAGTCAGAGACCAAGAAGGAACAACCAGGAGGGAGGAGGCACCTGAGAGTGAGGCGA